CATAACTGGTGCACGACTAGATAGTCGTTTGCCATTACATTACCCATCCTGAGAAGCTTACTGCAGGTGTCACCTCGCATTACCGGTTCTAATTACCAAATATGTCAATTCAAAGCAATGTGCTCATTGGCATTTTTGCATTCTTGAGGTTGAAGAAATTACTACAACAAAAGCTACTAGATGCCAGCCGTTACAGTTACGCAATCTCGCTTTCAGTTGTGACTCGAGTAGCCGAGTGGTTTGTATAATTTGCGATTTCAAGCAATTAACTTGCGATTTCAAGCATAATTACAACCAACGTCCTTTTGCACTGTCCGATTCAATTACTCGTTGACTATCTTGCCCTACGGGGCGACAGCAAAGGTGCACTATTCATCACAGGCACGACAGAAAAGCAGTGGCTCGCGAGGCGTTTGCTTCACAGCTGTCAGAAGGAACTCGATTGTGTGGTCTTACTGGTCTAGACCCATCTCGCTATAAAGGGCATAGCTTTCGTATCGGCGCGGCCTCGTACGCGGCATGTCCGACTCCCAAACTCGTATCATTGGACGATGGAAATCCAATGCGTTTCATAAGTATATTCGCGTTTCATCTATGTCTGCGTAAGGTTCCAAACACATCGCGCATGCGCGCGACCGACGCTATCGGGAGCGTTTCAACCTCGTGAGCGTTTTGGTCACGGCGCAGCATTTTAGATTTGCTTGCACGGGCGGCAAATCTCCTTCGCGCGTGGTTACGTCACCCAGCGAGAATGATGTCTTTAATGTCTTGCTTTCGTTATTTCAGTCAATTGACCCTTGATTATATGGGTAAAGGTGTATTATAACTTCTATAGTCATTAGTGTGCGTCTTTTCACGGGTGATCGTTGGGAGTTAGACTACGCGGATGGACATGGAAGTTGCATTTCCTGGCGTGGGGTGCATCTTCCCTGCGAAAATATGCTTTGGCGTAAATTTAACCCTCACCTTACTGGGCAAAACAATGTTGATACGTATTTAAAAGTTATATAGTTAACCAGTTAATCAGTTCTGTTAAAGTAATAAATATTACGTAATAAATATTATAAAAAAATGGCTACGGCCGGGTAATTGCTCAAAATATCCACTAGCTCAAAATATCCCAAACTCGTGTTTGGCTCTCTCAATTATAATTAAAACCACAGGAAAATGCCCAGTATCCAGCAGCGGAAATACAACATCTATAGAGCGAAATGTGAAGAAATACTACAAAGATTATACTATACTCGCGCAAAATGACAGACATAAATATAATATTTGTGTCCGAATAGGAATTTTATGTCTCTCATCATTTTTTCATTACCATATTGGGCAACTCTGCCGAAGGGGTGGAGGAAATTCTGCTCTGATCAGATAAAACTTTATTTAACTGTAGGCCAGCACTTGGACAGATGGAACAATTAGATCATTTGCAAAGTGCTGTCATAAGACACACTAAAACATTTCAAGTTAGTCGCTAAAAGTCAGCTGGCGAAGCAAGTCATTGAACAAGTCAAGTAATGGTAACCCCTATAGCTCAAAATATCCTAAACTCGTGTTTGCCTCTCTCAATTGTAATTAAAACCACAGGAAAATACCCAGTAACGAGCCGCGGAAATAGAACATCTATAGGGCGAAATGTGAAGAAATAGTACAAAGATTACTCGCGCAATATGACAGACATAAATTGATATATACTGAGTTTAAAGACAAAGGCTTATTTTATTATATGCATGGATGAGGGTATTTTCCTGAGAACTAAAACACTCATACGCCACTACATCTGGCGTACAGTGTTTTGGATAGTTGACATTTTATTTATTATATAAGTTGCGTTAATTAGCAATTACAGATACGTCATCGCCGCAGGCGAAGTAAAGTCGCGCAAGCAAGTGAAGCGATCGTTTTAGAAAGTTCCAGCGTTAGGAGATCCACCCTTCAAGTACTATTTTATAGTCTTATTGTTCCGAGAACAGTTTTAGTGTTATGCGGTGAATTTAGTTAGCTTTGTAATCGATTTTAACGAACATTTAATTATTACGTTATCTTTGTTATTGTAAAACATGATTGGAATGTGCATGTTATATCTTTGTAAATTTGTGATTTTGGAATTAAATTAAAAGGATTTCTCCTTTCCTCTCGCAGTTTTTCATTCAGTTCAGTCATTCTGGCATGTGTCCTATATATATATATATATACAGTCGTTATCATTAAGGTTGTCACCTGGAAATATTTATAAATACGTAAATATCGATCACGTGATCGTACTGCATACGTTATTTTATGGGAAATCGTTGAAAATTTATCTTGAAAATTTCTCAAATGCCATGCTGAGGTGAACAATATTGATAATAATAAAGAAACAAGAGGTAAGTGAACAAAATAAGCCATGTTTAATGGTCACGTGATTAATATTTATATATTTGTATATATATTGACATGGACAACCTTAATGATAACGATATATATATATTATAAGTATATTATGCTCTGTATATTTACTATATACTATGGTGTGTATGAGATATATAATTTGCATGTCACTTGGCCTTGTAGACCTAGGCTAATAACTGCTTTCACCTTTTGTTTTTTCTAGGCCTGCCCCATGGCGACTTCCTAAAATTCTTTTGAAACCGTTTCCGCCTTCAAAACCACAGTACAACAGAAGAAAAGCAACCAAGAAGAACTTCAGCATCGTTTTCATCGTGATTTTACGCTGATTATTGTGTTTGATTCATGCACACAATGAAAGTTGGAGTTAGAGTGATTATATTATTTATACATTGGATTTATATCGTGTAAATGACGTCAGTATAATCACGTGTTGCTCCCCAGCCCTCCTTAAATAGTCACCGTCGTGTGTTTCTAAAAATATAGGTGGGTCTACGGTCGACAATTATTTATTCAGGACCGTTGCTGGAAGCTTTATCTGAGGGGTGCATATTCATATATTCGTCTTATACCCGACTGATTTCTTTGGTAAGCCATTGTTTCTAAGGTATACAAACATGAAAATATGAATATACACCACCCCCCCCCTCCCGATGTTATTTACCACCTTGATTTGTACGCATTTGTACGTTCGTATGAAAAATGCTTGAAACTTTCTTAAGTTGTACGTTGTTTTGTTAATTTTATCCCAGAGAAAACACACCAAATTGCCAACAGAAATAAACCTTATGCTGTTATGCATGTATGTATTCAATCTTTTATTTCACAAGTATCATTTGAATTATTTTTTAAAAAAAACTACAATGGAAAGCAGCCGCCAAACTGGCACCGCAGTGTGATTGATTGGTAAATTAAACTCACCACGAAAGAAAGAATCGCCAACCAATCAGAGAGCCGAAATGAAGTGTGAAGACAGACGTGTCTACTCTGTATTGAATGTTTCTATCACGCGAAGCTCTTGATCTTTTGGCCGGAGTCATCTAGAACTATTAATCACCTGGAAAACAGGCATAATTCACGCATAAATCTTTTGGATCAGTTTTCAAGTCTTTTTAAATGAATTTCGAAACCTTATAATTCACTAAACATTGAGGTAAAATCCGACATTTTGCACAGTCGGTTTTGTGCTTATAATAGTTGTGAAAGAGGTGCAATTGATCCCGTAATAATTGCATTTTATGTCGATTGTTGAATCAAACACTCTATTATATGACAACAGACTATCTGTCTACCAACAGGCCTCGGCAAGACTGTTCCACTGGAGTTTGACAGTTAAATGCTAGTATTATACTATTACCTGAAATCTTTTATCGCTATTATTTTTTTTCAAAATTAATATTTGCAAACCTTTTATAATTATTTGCAAACCTTTAATAACTATTCATAATTATATATTAATTCCAAAGCGCTTGTAATTTTCATCTTTATTAAGCTAAATTCCTCTGCTTCAGATGTTCTCTAGCGGCAACGTCATCAACTCTTCTCTTCTCAGTAGGCCTCTCATGCAGTCAAAAGCCACGCCCCTGTATTACGTTTTCCCTCAGACATTATATTTACCATGCAGAAGCTGCTCAACACCCACACTTTTGAAAATTGTTCTAAAATCATTTTAGTTTCACCTAAGTTCCCAGGGAACAAAAATTAAATAATCGGGTATCCATCTATCATAAGTCTCATTAGAGTGTTCTAGTCCCATAGCCAGACATTTTTTTTTTGAAGACTTTTTTGACAGCACTTTAATTATGCCTGAAGGTAAACTATTCTCGAAGATGTGAAATTCAATAACCGAATTACCCAAATTTGTGACACTTCGCAATTAAGTTCATTATTCACAGTATCAAAAGTAAATATGCTGACGGATCGATTTTGGATTTGGATGATGCTACCCTGCAGCATTGGTAATCAGTGCAGCAGCTAGTCTATACGACAGACCACATTAACTGTACTTTGTAAAAACGTTTGATTACAGACGGTTTTTAGTAACACAATATCCATTTTATCCTTCCAGTTCATATCTTAGAGTTTGTGACTGCGTGTGATTGCGCAATGCAACTGCGTTATGCTTATTATTTCACCAATAAGCAGTTCATTTCATTCAGTTAATTTCACTCAAGACCGCACGTCACGGCTAATTTATCAATTATAGGCAAGGAATTTCAAAAATTAAAAAATCGATTTTTTAATGTCGCTACTAAGATGGCATTGGAGCTCAGTTTAATTTAAATTTTGAATAAATGCTAGGTTTATTGGAAGTAGAGCTGACCTAGCTGAAGGGTCAATAATGCGCGCTTCACTGCATTGTAAAATGCAGATATGAATTATGAATATAAAGGCCATGTGCAATTTATTGCTTTTTTCAAACCATTCTCGCACACGCGGATGCAATGTTTAACATTATCGTGGTAATGTGGTTAGTGTGGGTTGTCACGTGTAGTTAGAGTAATGTTATGAGGATGATATAATAGTTGTGATGCAGATAAAAAATAGAAAAGAAAATACAAAAAATTTTTTTCAAATCTCCTATATTTTGAAAATTATTAAAAATTCCCTTTCAAGTAACATTATTGCGTCACTTTTCGTCATGACAGCCACAATACTCTATACTAATTTCTACGGTATACGTCTTAAAATTTATGTTAATTAGTTAAATATATAACTATAGGTGTTCATGTTTAGGAGATCATTCTTATTTCTTCAAGATTCCATTGGTTCTTTCTACCAAAAAAAGAAGAGATTCGATTTAGTATGTCTGGCCAAAGTTTTACTTTTTTCACTTCCCAAGGGAGGAGAAAAACAGCAGCCACTTATTAATTGCATACACTTGCCTAATAGAGATAAGCTAAGAGAGCGGGACGTTGTTCTTTTTATCTTCCCATACTTCCATGGAAAGACCTAGAAGACCGTTGCATTCAAGGTGGTCCAAAGTTTAAATTTTTTTTAAATTAAAATTGGTCTCCACCTGATTGGGTGCAATTGCCGTGTGTAAAACTTTAACCACCTGTCACGCAATTTTCGGCAAGAAGCTGTTTCGAACTTTCTTTCTGATAAAACTTACGTCATTTGATGGGAAAGGGAAATGCGTTGCATTTAAATGACAAATTACCCGCAGCCATTCCAGCCTGGGGAACCCTTCTCGCTCCATATGTACGAACGTTCGCGGAAAGCAATGTGGCTGAGTAGAATGTCTCGTGACTAGTATGAATGTTATATCATAAGTCTGGCACTTTGCGTCGCTCGTAAAAATGCCTGCAAAAATAGCTAATACTATGAATCGCTAATATACCATCATTTTTAATCAGGTACGAGCACCCTTCAACTCATTCCTTGCCTTAATTAGTGTTTCAAAAGAGCTTATTCATGCCTCTTGAGTTGAGGAGGGTTATCCTAATGCAAGGCACCATCAGTACAATTAAAACACTATGTTGTGAACATTTTTTCGATATAGCTGGCGTTAAATCAATATCTTTATGATTATACGCATTGTTTCTGCCATTATTATATAAATGAATTATGAAAATACTCCCTGAGAGTGTGTTTCATTAATAATTTATTCGTCTTTCATCAACGGGCCTTCAATCTAGCTCACGCCATAGACCCATTAATTAAGACAAAGTGATTAAAAATTAGATAACGTGATTTTTCGGGATAAATATTTTTTGGCTCGACAGAATTTTTTTTAAACTTGCTCAATTAAATATAAAATGGCGGTAACTGAACTTAGTTTTCGAGTAAAATACATGAATAGGTAAAGTGTCGGCCAAACTGCGTCGCCATTATTCCCATAACAACTTCATATTTATGGAAATTGTTAAAATTTTGGTTAATATATCTGGTTCCTTTAGCAAGAAAACTCCTACCAAAATTTTAGATTTAAATCAAGAGTTTTCAATGTTCTTAAAATTGCAGGGAACCACTTTAATTGAAATGATTTTTTAGTCCTATGTATGTAGGATCATTCACATTCTTCTTTTAAGGTTGTGTGAAGTGCAATGAACATATATTTCGATTTACTAGGGACTGGAGTGGATTTGGGGTTTATTTCGTAATAACCATTTTATTTTCAAGATCAACACTCACCTTGTTGACAAGTACTCATTAAAATATGCGTGAAAATCCGTATCCATGATCAGCATGCATAGAATGTTGGAGAAGAGTGACTTAATAGTAAAAGAGCAAGGGCAAACCCCTGTGGATCGAGCTCCAATTTAGTTTCCCAGTCTGGGCTTTTAAAAAAGTATCACATGCACACATTTGCATGTATTTGGAAAGATATAACCATATAAAGCTTTCAAAACTTTACTAACAATGCGGAGTATAGAAATTGGTATATAATTTTCACAATTTCTGTCTATCTTCAGACTTTTATAGAGCGCTTTTCATTAAGCGGCCAAAATGGTCAGACCGGTCGTATTTTGAATTGAAATGAGTATTTCGTTAAAATTTAAAATTTAGCGGTGAAACTGCATTTTCCCAGCTAATCAGATGTAAATAACGTTAAATCTGAATGCAAATTTTTTAAAACCCTCCAAAATACCAAAAATAACGCAGTCTGGCCGTTTTTACCGTATAAAGGAAAGGGCCCTTAGATAAGAATAATAGACTTAATCATTGCATGCCTCTCATAAGTTAATGACGGAGCAATAAATTCCGCAGATTGTATGAAATATTGGACGGGTTTTTATCAAAACCAGTAGATTTGTTTACCTTTAGGTTCATGATCAATAATGCTGGGATAACATTATGAGTGTGAATAAGATTGAAATATAATAATGTGGGCCTAGAGTTAGGTTGCTATATATTCGTGGTGTACAGCGTGTATAAGAAAGCCACCATGCACCCTTGAATATCTCATTTGTGATAAAAGTCAATTTTGCTTTATTGTGCACGTGTTTAGCAGAGATTTGTATTTATTCCTGAGAATTCGTAATAAAATCTAATGCATGGATTTCTTTATAAACCGCAGGTTACGCAGTTTCTGCATGTCTTTCTGGAGTTTGATGAGTAGGCATTTTTAATGTATATGCAGTGGGCGTGGATAGCTTTGCTGAAAATATACGCTTGATACGTTTTACTTTATGCTCACCACGGGCCTCGGATAACTATAGTACTAGTTATACGCGTAGGCGGATACCATGCAGCGTGACTTATAGCGAGATCCATCACTTTTTAAAGGCGTTTATAGGTTCCCTATCCAACGATTTGATAAACTTGAATAAGAGTCGGTATTAAATTATTTACCAACCAAATTCACACCCAACCCAAACTTTTGTCATTTATATATATACATATCTTGTGAGTTGGAGATTGGATATATTGATCTGAACTTGCGTATTTCATGCATGATAGTAATGCCTCCCATAGAATTCTCATGGTATTTAAGTTTAATATTAGATATAATTCGTTTTGTGGACCAAAGATGGCAGAGAGGGCCAACAATGATGGGACGTCTCGAAAAATTGCGAGAAATTGAGATGAGATTGTATGTGTCGAACGAAAAGTTGGAAACGTTTTGTGAATCAGGTTCGTATTCAATTAAATGAAAATATGCGAGACCAAGGGCTACTCCTGCAAAGGAAAATGGAAAGAAAGCAGAAGGAAAACCAGTGGACCGTATATAATGTTCGGTTTTCAATGCTTTGCGGCGGCAAAAATAAGCATATATTCCATGTAGCTATATTTCAAAACGAAACTATATCATTACTTAATTGCTCTAGTTTTACTGCCTGACCGGCAGGACGATATAGCCGCAATTCTAAACTTATCGGTGTGCTCCATGAATTTGATACTTCAAACTGGCATTATTTTTCTTGACAAGACCATGCAATAATAAAATGAATTGTTAAATTTTGTCCCGACGACTAACATGTACTTTAATAGCATGGAAGAATATCGATACAAAGTTTTTTCGATGATTAACTGCATGAATTCCGTTTTATTTATACCATTATATCAGGTTATAAGCATGATGACTGATGTGAAATATTATTTTCGTGGGAAGAAACTCCCAAGAAACAATTTTGTGAATTAAAACTGTATATATACGTGTCGATCATTCGCGTGCATGTCACCATTTTCCGCAAAAAAAAACTGCATGTAGCTAAGAAACACTATCATAAAAACAAAAAGGAACAATTTGAATCTTACCTTCGTGTCTGTCCTCGTTTTAAAGCCGTGCCTGGTAGTATCTTATCGTTGTGTGAAACGAAAACCCAATTTGCGTTCCATTAATGGCGCTGGCTTCGGACGGCGTATTTTTCTTCTTCGTAAAATCCGTTTGAAACCGTCCCCGCCTTCAAAACCACTGACCAAGAGTAGAAAAGCAAGCAAGAAGAACTTCAGAATCGTTTTCATTGCGTGATTTTGTCGATAATGAGTTATTAGAATGTCTTCCACTCTTCCACTGAAATGCTCTACAAACGTTTTAACGAGAGAGCCTCTTATATATCGGGATCTTGGTCATTTCGCGTGCAAGTGACGTCGCCATACCCACGCATTGGCCCCGTTGCCCCCCTTAGTCACCATGCCAGTTATACTATTAGGTTAGGTTTTACTATTAAATCGTTTTAAATAACTCCGGAAATTCAATGCTAATTAATAGTCTTGTATACCAATTTGGCAACGTGCAGGAGCATAATATTTCCTATTGGTTTGTGATTTCAGTTATAAATTATTCTAAAATTAACGAGCATACACCAATTACAATAAAAACCGCAAAAAAACGGAAATACATGTGTTTTTAAAAATAGTCTTAATAGATAATACAAGCCCTGTTTACACTACACTCGATTTATTGGCACAGTATACGGCTAAAATTGGTACCAGTATACACAATCGTATTGGTGTTCAGCCTACCAAAACAAAAGCCGAGCGCAGATAAAACGGGCACGGGCACCCATTTTAGCCGTGCCGTGGCATTAAATCGAGTGTATAGTATAAACGGGGCTATAGTCTGTCTTCGGACGATTATATATTTTTTATTTATAAAGCTTATTCTCTCTCATACACCAACAAAGTATATACCATACAAAACGAACCATCATTGGCTTTGCCATAAGATTAAATGTAAATTGTAAATAAATATATCTTAAATTTTCAATTTGTTAAAGTGTCTATTGGCTGCGTTGTCGGGATGAGAACCAAGTGACCAAGTTGGCAAAGTGAAGGGTTGGTAAAAAACATGATCTCAAGTGGTGCACCACAGCCTGGGCAACCAATCAGTCTGTTGAAATGACCAGTGTTTGTCAACTATAGCCATGCATATCTGTATCAGTGATGCGAAGCTCAGATAGGCTTTGATCTTTTGGCCGGAATCATATAGAATTTTTCAAGGAACATTTTGGATGAGAGTATGGAAGAGAAACACAGTCAGGCTAATTGCATGACACATTATAATTAACTGTTTGTTTCAATTTTAATTTATTCCAGTGAATTAATGAACTACACAAATTCTAGTCCATATATCCATATATTCATGCATTTAGAACCCTATGGCAAACCAATATTGTGTTGGATATTGAGTCAGTTTGTCATCATTCTTAGTTATGCATCCTGAACAAAAAAAACTTATAAGATTAGCATTGAATAGGACGAGGATTATATAACGTCGTGCATGGTCTGTTGAAACAACCACAAATACAGAATTAATATATTAACGAGACTTATAGTTCCATCGGAAGGACATATCTTAAATTCTGTTCTAGTCAATAGCCTTTCGTGCAGTCGTGCATGCACCATGGTGCACCACCCCTGTTTTCAGTCTCTCAGTCTAAAACAGTTCGTTGTGAGCACCGCTAAGACCTCACTAGTGTACCATTGTTTTACAATAATTTTAGTTGGATTCGAGTTGCAATAATTTTAGTTGGATTCGAGTTCCTATATGGGAGTTATCATCCGAGAGATACGTTTTGGTGCTAGGGCTACTAGTGTGTTGAAGACTTATCTCTTATTATGGTGTTCTAGGCGAATGGTGTGCCATATATGTTCTTGGCTTCGTAATTTGGCAGCACTTGAATTCTGCCTGAAGGTAAATTTTCGGTGAATTTCACTGAGTATAATCTCATATTCTCGGAATTTTAAAATACTTGCTGTCTGATAAATTTGATTGATAAAATTGCATGGAACATATACAACTGAACTTTCTTTTGCAATCTCCTATATTTTGCGGAACTGAATATATATCGCACGGATAGGTCGATTGAATTGGGTCCTTATCCAAACTTATCAATCTTCAGTTTTTACAATAGGTATTAACCTTTTTGCACAAGACTTCGACCATTTACAGCCTCATGTCGTTTTTATCTCACTTGACCCTGTCATGCATGATTGCATGCACGCCGTATCTAATTCGTCAAGGGCAAAGGAATTTCAAAAATTAATCATACCTTTGGTATCTCCATTAAATTGTATTTATACTATATCATATATAACGAACGGAATGGAAAAACACGGATGTACATGTTTGTGTACATGTTTGATTTTCAATTTATTTTAAATATCAGGTTTAATAAAAATAGCACCTAGACTGAAAGTTTTATTCCCCGCACTGACATATGTATATACTCGCGGTTATAGTTTTAAGGCAGTTTTCTACAAAGCAGAATTTTTCGATCGAAGGTAAAATTTTCTCCTAATTCGCTTATAGCAGGTTTTCTCAACCTAGTTGTCACAATTGAAAAGAAAATTAAGCGAAAAATTTTGTTCGATCGAAAATCTAAGCGAGGAGAGGGGTGTCGTGAACTAGCACACCTCTGCACATCAACAGTCAACACAAAAAAAAACGCTGGAAAAAAGTTGGTAGAGCTTACGTAAACTACTTGTTTTTGTAAAGTAGCTCGTTACGCTCTTTAGTGGTTTTTTGGGCCGATGGATGGGCCCAAAACTCCTATATAACTTTTAACATGGTCCTCATTGGGAGAGGGTTGTAGAATAAAGATGCGTGCGAAATTTGTGCGTACCGTTCTAAAAAGCTCTCTCGTCAATTCCTATTTGCGTGGTATCTGGTCTTTGATTTTATCCAAAAATCCCCATGGCATTGCATGAGACCGCTAAGAGGATATTAAAAACCCTGTCTATAGGTATAAAAAACAAGTAGGTAGCTATACATACTTTACCACTCCTTCACAAACACATGCAGGGTAAAGCAATCGGAAAAGTATAATTTAAGCAGTATAGCTATCTAGCCGTTTTCTTCGCGAATAATAATATTCAACTATACTCACACTCACACTCATTGGTATATTCAAATTATATAAGTATTCTAAGTATATGGCATATTCAAATTATATTATTACTGATCAATGAGAAAGTTTTTCAGTTCTTAATCATTGGAAACATTCAACAGTAAAACAGTGCATGCATGATAATCAAGCTTTTATTATTTATGGAAACGCTATATGAGAAGATTATTAAGAAGATCGCCCACTAAATTAGTTTTGAGTGATAAATAGAATAAATCGAATTTTTTTGTCACTGATCAATGAGATTATTGCATGGCATATTCCTCTTTTAATTAAGTTTGTGGTAAAACACTAAAAACCGCTTAATTATCTTAGTGGAAATACATGCATGCAGTCTTGTAGGAGAAAGTTGAGATCTCCCACTCAATGAGTTTGAATGTAAGGGAACTTTCAGAATGCAGGACTGGCGTAGAGCTTGATACTGCATGATGCAGGTAAACCAACTGATGCATATAGGTTAATTCTGTGGTAATTTACTAAATAAAATCATCTGAGATGCGCCTCTGTATATGATTCATTTCGATTTTAACATTTTAGTAAATCACATGCATGACCAAAATTATAGGTTTTACGTGGAAAATTATAAAACTTCATGACATCAAACAACTCTCGTTCTACCTCAGACTTACAGTTCATTCAAGTCAGTTATATGAACTAAAAAAACTCCATGCATGCAAGCTTACCCAAGTGAGAGGCTTAATTGCTTATACAAGAGACCTATATAGCTTTTAGTTAATGCGACTTAAGGACAGGGGGAGCCGAGGAGGTATAATTATAAATAAACGGGGTGTATAATCCAGGTATTTAAATTTATTTGTTAGGCTAAATCAATCTTTCCAACGGGATCATCGTATATCATATGGCATTCTGGCTTGTTATTAAACACCAGAAACCAAAACTATTTCATCTTACTTGAACATTTACGCAAGCAATTTGGAAGCCTTCCGTTGTACTCAGGTGCTTACCGGCAAAAAAATCATTGCCCGGTATTGCTCAGTGACACGCTAATTGAACGGACGTACGCGATATTCGTTTAACAATCGGGAACCGGAAAATATTGCGAGGTTTCAGTAACCACAGGCACAGATATTATCAGCCAACTAAATTGTTTTGCAGGGGAACGCACGATGATTGATTTGAAAAAGATTTAACCCAGATATACCACGTAATACCTCTTCATTAGAGAAAGATACGTCAAAGTATTAAAATCAACAACTACAACAAGCTATATTCTCATGGCGCTACAGGGCCAATAAAAACCACAAATCGGTAGCTAACAGCTATTTTATGACTGAGATTTTGAGGTTTGTAGAATAAGCAAAACGGCTTTTAGTCGGCAAGTGGCAAAAGAGCAATTCAATATCCATGCGCTTCACCAATTAACAAAATATTTTTATATTATTTATAAGATTTCGGCAGATACTTCTTTATACGCGCGCGGCAGTTCCGATCTGAACGGTATTGAGGATGCGACGTTACCGTCTTGAAGATCAACATGAAGATGCGCCAATGACGTAAACGGATGTCCATTGCAAAAAACTCGACACTGGTGACCAACTAAGCCGCAATTTAATATAACCTCGTGTCTATCGAGCCAAGTTAATAATAAAGGCGCAAAATTTGCTAAGTCTTATATATTGACAATGTTTAATTTAGAATTGTCCAAAAAAACTATGTAACTGAATAGGTCAATGTCGGGTAAAAGCTTGTCGGCTATTTGAGAGCGTTTTGAGTCAAAAAATTTCCTTGCGGCCACAACAGATATATAATGTCCCAATCTGATCTCACAATATATATTATAATTGTGTCATTATTATCCCAACGTCAAATTCGTCAATGCACCACTGACTATATATTCGAGTAGTGGCTAATTTAGTAAAAAGAGAGAAATCAATTGTACTTCGTAATATATTAAGCCATACCGGGTCAGTGCCCTTCTCCCGTGATGGATTATTTAAGCCTTTCTGAAAGGTACTCCCTTTAGTTTTGATGCCCGGCTTACGACATGTTAGAAATAAAGTAATTTATAAAGTACCCATCCCTTCTTTGTTGTTGAGGTGTCAATGAAATTCGGTGTATGCGGGGATATTCAGTGCTGCGGTTTTTCAAATTGCTGTGGTCTATTTCTAAAAAAGTGACTGGGTTTCATTACATAACTCTAAACGGAAACAATAATAGCACAGCGAAAACAACTTTAGTGTTTGCTGCGGCGGAAGTGGGATAACCATAGAACGGATATTGTATATAGCAGTTGAAGATACATTTGATACATTTTCTAGCATCAGCTAATTCGTGTACGAATGTTTGGTTTTCGCGGTCGGAAGCGTGGTTTGGTAACTGTATATTCAGTTTTGTTGTTTTCGACGGTTAAAGCTATTTTCATGCGCAGCCGATATCCAAACCGCAGCGGTAGTTCTTGCCAGGTGATTTGCATTCGCGCACGACTATTTCATATGACTGTCACTTTTGACTTTGGAGCTTTACATGTTAGGCCTAAACTCTAAAACTAAAGCTATATTAACCCAGAGAATTTATGAGAATATTTTCATGTTAAAATAGTACACTATATTTTGATACATTGAGGAATCAACATGCATTAAAGATGTTTTCTCAAATGTGAGAGCTAGGGCAACTATCTTTAATTCCAGTCCTCTACATTAACTAAGCATATTTTTAATTCTTCAAAGTAAAAGAAAGGGTTCTACAAGAGTTTCACCCTCTGAAATCCTTCCTTGTATTTCACCCTCTGTAATCCTTCCTTTTATAAAGTATAGCCTGATATTTATAGGCAAGCCCGAAAAACTGGTATAAATCAGATAATGTGAAAATATTCATCGGACAGACTAATCGAATCGATGTCTTTGCCCTGTTTATCCTCTCCCTTCAGGAAAATGATGTGGTTTTGCAAATTTGTATGGAATTAACTGTAATTTTAGCTGACTATCCTTTCTGTTTGTGGGCAATTGATCCTTCTCATGCATGGCACCTTGAAGAGTGATATAAAATTGAGCTGGGTGGGTGTGTGTGTTGACGAAAACATTTCCATGCATGCGTGATGCAACTATATTTAAAGGTCCTTGTCTGGCCAGGAAAAACACTGAATTTATACCTATAGGTGATGGTCGTAGTTGCTCAGTATCAAACGCTCTATAGCTACGTCTGTATCACGCAGGGTTTTGCCTAAAATGTTGGTTGCAATTGGTAGCCGCAGTAATGATGCCATATTATGCAAGGTAATTGATTAATTAATCAGTCTTTATATCAATACCAGTTAACATGTATTAAACAACAGTTATATATATTATACTAAATATATATTATACTAAAGAACGTTTAGGGACATAATGGAAATGAAGGTTAAATCTGTGGTAAATTTATTTCTACATAAATTTCAAAACTTTATCCGGCAATACTTTATCTAAGACTTTTATGAGCCGGCATGCAGAGCTTCAGAGATTATCTAGTCCTTTAGTATACATGTATGTATGTTGTATACCTTAATCAAAAGTGGGGTTTACGTTTGGCAGCAAAAAGACTTGATAAAGATATAGACTATAGTTCTTGCTTAGTAAAGTGCTATAGAAACTTTGCACAGATTCGCCTCAACATTTTTCGGACTTGCTTCACTGAAAAGACGTGACACTGACTTGGCAAAAACCTTATAAGAGAAGGATGACTAACCTTTACTGAATATTTCAGGCTTCTAGCTTTTAGCGTATGCCAGAAATTGAATAGTAATTAAATTGCCGAAAAGAACTATACCCAGCATGTGAACTATAACTTAATTCACTCTGATGTTAAAACTTCGGATTAGAGGACAAAAAGCTTGCATGGGTTCAGCGTTAACTACCTTGTTTACTGACTGAATAAGATAATATAATGGTAGCCAATATAATATATGGATAAGATATCAAATCATTGACTATATAGTGACGATTTCATTATACTATATATATGCATGCAGCAAAAAGTCAAGACTGAGTCAGACATGAATTGCATGACCTTTTTTAAAAATTCCAATATACTAAGAGTTTTTATAAAGTTCTTATACAACTACCTTTAATAAACTCCTCCCACAGTATTTCTGACCAAATCGAATGGAAACACCAAAAGTGTTTTTACCAAACTTACTATAGTGTTTGATCAACAGATCAAGTCCTATTCTCGAGTAAAATTTGTATTATCTTAACTTTGTGATGTATTTTGCGGGCTAAAATGATAAATCAGCCCGGTGATCTAAGCCAATCAGAAGAATGACTGAAGTGTTTGCCCATTGCATAATTTTTACACAAAAAACACATTTATGCCAAAGAACATAAACTCTATTGTTATATCAAACCTAAAATGGTTATCTTCATGTTACATTTCTGAATCCGGGATATAAACCTGATCATGCAAACATTACTCAGTTCAAAAGAGTATAAAAATTATAGGCATGAGCCAGGCTTTGGCTGTAGAAATTGCTTGTGATTGTTTCTTATTTTCACTATGAAATGGGTTTGAAATCAACTGCCGGGAAAGAGCTGATTGTTCCATGCATTAGCAGATATATTGCAGAACCGGCCATATTCTCATAATAAGGACACTGAAATCATTTAATTTTCACTAAATTCAAAAGGAGACCTCAAGACCACTGGGGATGTTGCAAATTTGAATGCCTTAGCACAAAGCAAACTAATTTTCCAACGGTGGGCCCATCTATAAATAGGATCATGGGATGACTGCTATGCAAATTGCAAAATGTTACAAAAAGTAGACTTTTCATATTGGAATCTGTCATAACCTATTGTAGTAAATTACTATTGCGACACAAATAATCCTCAATGAATAGAGCTGTCAGTTTTCAAATTTTCGTGGCACACCCTGTAGACTGATAATGGATAGCTATACAGAGTGTCTCCAAAACGGATCTTTCAAAATCTCCCGATTGCATGTGATGACTTGAATGCTTGTGATGATATAAGTGATCGAAAGGTATAGTCCGGCCCTCTTTGGCCAAGACACCCAGCTGTATGCAAATTGCGTGTCCAAAAAAGGCAACATTTTGGAATGAAATTAGTGTCCATAAGAACAAGATCTCTATTCTTCCTGATGCATCATCAGTCCAAGAGAGGGAAAAATGAAGGCAAACCAAAAGTATAGGTTTACCAGCAACAGTCTTTACAGCATTAATTTCAAATTCTGACATGCAGTCAAAATCAACACTAGCTATAAGCCCACGGCCCGGCACGGGTGCATAAAATTGAGAAACGATCATGCAGGACCTTTGTCACGCATTTGAATTTCAGCAAAAGGCTGATTTCGATGAGGTGCGTTTGGGCATGGTTTTGGGGGGCGAGGCATATTCATGTATGATAAGTTTATTTTCAAATCAATTGTCTTTACAGTCTGTTAACATGAATGTATGAATATGGGCCCCCAATTATCGATGCTGGCTACCCCACTTGTTGTTTGTATATAATTCATATCCAGAAAAAATGGATGTTTGGGTCGTTTATTATTCATCGATCGAATCATGCATGTTTATGGCACTAACTAAAGCCATAGTAAAATTGCAATCATTATGCGTTCAGGTTTACCAATGTGATTTAACAATTCCTAGCTAGGTAACATACATGATGCATGCATGTTTTGGGCAGTACAATTGACCATAACATTCGTATACATTTGAAATTGAATTTAGGCATTTTTTTATTATAGGAATAAGGCATTCTAGGTTATATAAAAGCTTTACGAAGGATAGCTAATTTTAAAAATAGAAATGTAAATTACAAAATATCCCTCATGGACTAAATTTCAGGTTAACAATATAAGAACGTTGACTTAATACATAAATACCAGATTTATATTACATTCAGATATACCCCAATATTCCAATTTATTTCCACTGAAGGTTTCTGCTTAAAACTATAGTTACCAATCGCCTGTAAACTATGAAAAACTATAGGCAATTGTCAGTATATTTCTGCCTTTAGCATCTTTAACTTAACCCTCAATTGTTCCTTTTCATAGTGGTTTGGTTTTGAAGTTATACAACTATGGTCTCTACATTCATTTTTCATGTATATGATCATATAAATTGTGTTCTTCAGATGACTGAAGCATGCATAAGTCAGTACAAAGAGAGAGAGTTGAACACAGCGAAGCGCTGGTTTATAATTCTTCTGACAAATCACGTTCGTTCATCCCATCGCCATTTATAACATAAAATATCAAAGCACAACAATGTTTCCATTATGGCCGAAAACTGTGGAACTGGGCGCATGTATTGTTGACTCAACTGTTATATATTTGCAGAAATACAAGTCAAGGTAGCCGTCCGTGCAAGTATTTTAGTCCGACAGTCGTGGTTAAGTTTAATCGAAAATATTAAGCGAAAACTATTCTCATAAAATGCACGCCTTTGGGCTTTGGCTGTGATTTTGTAAAGAGATATACAGCAGGTTATGTTAGTAAGGCCTTACCATGCAACGTCGAATGATTTTTTAATGTTTACAGAACCGTAAAAGTTTTTTTCTTTGCGGAGCGAGTGGATAAAAAATGTCTTTCTATCTCTCATTCTCGATGCATGATGATTTATTAAATATGTTCGCAATATATACTTCAATTATTATATTTACCGACGAAACTATATCTTTTTGAAGATCCTTGTTAGAGAGTTAACTATCATTTGAACTCTATACATGTAGGGCTCTAGCTTCAAAATATTCTATCAGAATATATACATTTAAAACATGAATAACAGGTAGCTGAGATTTACGATCACTAACCGTTATCGCCCCCTCCTTCAGCGAATCCGAAGTAATTCTTCTATGTGTTCGTAAACACTTATGCTTTTTCGTTTCATGAAATACAATTCTTCTTGGATCATCACCAACAAAACCAAAGGAATGCACAGAATTTTGTCATCAAAGATAATGCGTCCTCTGTTTCGAAAAGCTAAAGTAACGACTGCATGTCCACTGTTAAAACTTCAGGTGTATATATGTTTTGCCCTGTACAGATTGAAGATGTATTTACCTTTATTTTCAAGGGAATATTGACAAACTTTCGTAATCGCAAGGCCCACCGCTGAACTTGTTTAATATCCTAATGGAAGATGTTATAAATTACAGTGGTTCTCTTTTGGATAATTTACAGGTCAGAAAAATGAGAGACAGGGCATATTTTTATTCATATGATATAGGTGATTTTTTCCCACATATGAAAGGTAGAAACAAAATTGTGGTAGAACTTGTGTGGTAGAAATCATTAGATTTACACTCGTACTTTGTAAATTTTGTATATCGTGTTGTTAGGGCGTGGTCTGTCACAGTCCACAATGCCATGCAAGCCTAGGTTTTGTCATAACCTGTGGATATATTTAGATGACCTTGGAAAAATTTCGACTAAGTGAAGGTAATAATTATGTTGAAAGGAATGCTAGACAATTTTTCAGGCTCAATTATTCAGTATGATTAGTAGCCGCCAAATTTGGAGATTTTTGTCTCAGTATATTACCTGCAGACAGGATTAGCTTCTATCGAAGCCAAATATGTAGGAAAACAGACAATGATGAAAATATTCGCTCCATAACTAAATTAAGTAACATCAATATATATTACCTTATAAACACTATATCGTGCAAAATATGCATGGTACTGTGGTGTAAACTGGCAATGATTAGTGAATCAACTTTGCATCGTAATGATCGTATGTGGTATAATATACAATGCCTAAAATGGAAAAAAATGCCTCACGACGTTTCGACGTAAGGGCTAGAATCAACATTCCACTAGGCAGAATTTTTCGATTGAACGAAATTTTTTGCTTTGATTTTCTTTTCAATTGTGACCGTTGAAGGGAATCCGCTACGGTCGAATTCTCGCAATTGAAAAGAATATCAGACGAAAAATTTCGTTCGTTTAAAGAATTTCGCCTAGTGGAAAACCGGCTTAAATTCCAGGATCGAAAGGAAAAAAGATTTCTTGAATTCAACGTATGATGAATAGTTGCACGTAGGCATATTTTCATTTTCATGTTGCATCGCGGGTGGCCTTGGGACAAGAGCTATTATATTTAATTTTGGCACAAGAATTGCGTTACTTTTTGTAGGGAATTTTCGTATATCCTTCGCGGAGCAATTTGTAAGGAAACTAATTCTTAATTCTCTTCCTAGCGGCTGAGCTCAAGTTCCTTTTTTTGGGGTTATCCACTACAAAAGGAAGAAACATCAGTATTTCTATGGGGGAAGACTGTTGCACTAAGTTAAATCTAAAGGATAAAGGATCTTCTATAACTCACTCCGTCGGTTATCATGGGGAGGTCTGGAAGGAAAGGGAATTCGTTGAGAATTCTCGTCAGATTTGCATAACCTAAAAAGTACAAATTCATAAGTAGAAACAGGCCTACTGGGGGAGGGGGATGAAGGAAAACCCAAATAAGGACTGCTTTCCACTTAAACGTTTTTTATACGCACGTGCATTTACGGAAAATTTTAAATGCTTTTAAATTTTTATTATTTAACATCTAGGTCAACTAATGAGTACTAAGATATTCAGAAAACTAAGTTTTTTCGGTCGATTTATTCACTTAGTTTTTTTCAAAGGTAACGTGTAAAGGATTTAGACTTTTACGTGCGTGTACGTGCGTATGAAAAACGCGGAAGTGGAAAACACCCTTTAGAAAGCCGATATGATCACTTCATATATCGACGTTTCTGCCACGTTTCTGCCAGGTTTCTGCAAGTTTCTGCAAGTTCTGCAGCTCCACTTGGAACTCGGAAGCTCCATGTTTACTATGGAAGCACTGATTCTCAACATTTCATAGTTTCAATATGGCGAACGGTGGAGCATTCTTGGGCTTTATTGCTGTTATTGCTGCGATTGGCTTTAATTTTTCTTTGCATAAGATCGAAGAAGGTAGGATTGCTAATTTATGAATGTGTGGTTGAGAAAACTAATGATTTTGTGTATGGTCTTTGCCACACTATTAATAAAATGTACATGGTTCTAATGTATAGACACGTGACGTGCTTACTGTTTAATTGAACAGTTGTAGAATGATTGTATTTTCGCATTCTGATCCACAAAAATGTCCAAAACCAAATGCATCTGTGTAATTAAACATATTCCATTGGTTTGAACTATGCATATGCATATTCTTTGGGTAAAATTCAGCAAATTCACTCGTTTGTCATAACTGAAACTGATAATCAAGTTATCAAGATTTATATGAAGATGTTAAAAGATTTTTTATACAGTAGATGGTGTTCAATATTTTATCAAAAATTGTTGACCAGCAATAAATGAAAAAAGAAACATGTGAAATGCCACAAAAAAGTTTGACCATGCAGAACTGAAGGGTTAGATTGATCAGATGACTAAAGTCATTAAATAAAGTCAGAGCTTTGAAAGTTCCAGCTCATATCACCATTCTCATTCAGGTCTTTAAACTTGTGAGCTATAGTACATTTATAATTCCACAACTAATCCAATTGGTTTCTGTATGTATATAGTATTTAATAGCTCTACTGTTCTGTGGTTTATTTACTTTTTTTCGTTATAGGCCATATAGGAGTCTATTATAGGGTAAGTGTTAATTTTTAATCAATTACAAATTTTAAAGTTGATGTCCACTTTGAATCCCAAGTTATTATATAGGTGTACTAAGAGATCTGATATTTTTAGAATTGAAATTTTTAAAATCCACAATTTTGTATAGATGGTTTCAAAGATTAATAAGGCAAATGCATGATTTCTTAATGTTCATGAAAACTTTAATTTAAGAAGTAAAATGAATTGGTATTGAGTTATATTTAAAGTATTAATTCAATTTGGTGCAAGTATAGTTTTAATGCCTAGACTTTTGCAAACTGTATATCACAATTCCCCATTCCTGGATTAAATAATGATTTTCAGAATCTGCTTTTTCTCAGGGCGGCGCTTTGCTTTCTTCAACCAGTGGACCTGGTTTTCATATCATGATACCATTTGTGACATCATTCCGCAGTGTGCAAGTCACCATGCAGACAGATGAAGTAAAAAATGTACCGTGTGGAACAAGTGGTGGTGTTCTTATTCATTTTGATCGCATTGAAGTTGTTAACATTCTAAGTGCCTCTGAAGGTACAGTACCATCATATAGCATTCCTAAAACCTTAAACACTACCAATTGTTTTGTTGTTACACCATGTGTGCACAAGTTTACACTATATTCACATTATAGAAATCAGCCCTTGGCATTTTGATGAATTAATAGGCAAAATATATACCATTGATATTTCCCAGGTTCATCGCAATGTCTCTATCTAAATGACAATTTCTCTTTGCAAATCCCCCAAAAATGCGACAGCTGTTGAGAAATTGATAAATATTGACAGCATTTTGAAAGAAGGAAGGCAGAACCTATTCAACTACTGAACCTCCTTAATTTTTGTTTAAAAAAGATAAATGCTTATGGATAAGTTATAACAATTATTTGTCCTTTTCTCTCTTATTCAACTGAGAGTTCCATATCATCCCAACCCCATACACATGAAGTTGGTTTTTTCTTCAATTTCCAGTTCATAATATTGTCAGGAATTTCACTGCTGACTATGACAAGACGTTGATATTTAATAAAATTCATCATGAGCTTAATCAGGTATATTTTAAATACTTCATAAATAGAAATTGAATTTTATATTTCAATTTCAATTTTATATTTGCAAACCTTAGCTTAGTTTACAAACCATTCTGATGATAATTTTGCACAGTATGTAACCTTCCAGCCAGAAACATATATACAGAGACTCTTTGTCCAACATTTTAAAGATAGTCAATTTTTTTAATAAATATTTGTTTAAAAAACAATAGAAATTTATTTGACCAGTGTTTGTTTTCAATTTAGTGGTAGAGCTTGGCTGTAGGGCGTCTACACTGGATTAACCCGATGGATGTAGCTAACGTCATGCAGCTATTGCTTATACAACTTTATTGTTTTTCTAGTTTTGCAGTGCTCATACTTTGCAGGAGGTTTACATTGATCTATTTGGTAAGAACAGCTGATGTTTATGGCACTTGTTATGAATTGTATTTCTTTAGCGTGTTTAAATACAGCGTGTCCAAAAAAAAAATCACCCGCCCAAAGAATGCGCGTTTCAGACGTCGAACTTTCCATATGTCCAACACAATGTTAATGAGCTAAAGTCTTTGTTCATTTTTTTCATTTATTTAAGTTTCGGCACATGGTTAAACTATTCTATTGAATACGGCTCTTTGTTGCTATTCAATTTTATTTTTTCATAAGCATAAAAACACAGGTAGCGCCGAAAAGATTGCTGATTATAGAGTCATTAGAGCCACATTTTTTGGAGTATCCACTTAATGTGGTCCACTACAGATTTTTTTACTTAATTTTGAAAAATATAAAAGTCTGTTCATATTGCAAGCCAATGGAAAAAAGACTTGTGGAAATCTTCAATCGCTATAGTTACCCAGACCAGACACACCCAATGGTGGAAAATAGACGAAGTTTGTAAACACAATAACTAACTAGGTTTTAACTCTAGAACGACGGAATTGGTTTTATTTAGTTCTAAGCTGAACTAGGGTAAATAAAACTTGTCCAGTATTAAACGTTTACAGGCTATAGATATAAAACTTCTACGATCTATCAAAACTTCTACGATCTACGATCTATAAACAGTCGCTATTTTACTTAGACTGAACGGAATACAAAACTTTTAGTTCACCTCCGAGCCAATTGTGTTTAGAGTCAACCATGAAAATTTCATGAAGTTAGCTTTATTACTTTTTGAGTTATCGTGCACGAAAGTAAGGGGAATGACAATTTTTTGTTTGCTAAGAAAAGCGACGAAAATAGTTTTGCATATGTTCATAAATTATAGAGAACAGTATAATAGAACAATGAAACTGAAATAGCTGGTTGTAACCTCTTTTGTTTGCTCGGGGTAAAATACTAATTAATAAAACTTTTTCTTTAATTCTCGCGTTCTTTGTATATTCTTCGGAAAAAATTCAGGATGCTTAGTAATACATTTAAGTTTTCATCCCTTGAAATTTTTAAAACAGAATAAATCATGATTTTTTGTGGTCGACCACCTTAATATAACGGGTTTTTTACATATATAACGTTGTGTCGTATTCAGCATTTCAGTCAGGCAATACAAAACCTTTTGGGGAGGCTATTTTTATTAGGGGCTGAAAAAAGACTTTCAGACCAGTTGCATGATTACACATTAATTCTAGCCAGCGTTGAAACTCGTCTTGTATGATAAACATTTTAATCCGAGCCGGAAAAAAAAAATATTTTTTTTAAAACAGCTTTTCCACTTCGTTTCCCTTCGTTTATGTGCCATCATTTTCTTATAAAGGTCAATAAGGTAATCGCATATTCGGCAATTTTAAAGTGTCTGAAGAGTAAAAAAAAACTCTATATATTTACAAAATTCTGACCTATAAACTTTTCCCGGGCTGTAAGATTTCCCATGTAAATATAAAATACCTTCGGCCAGATCAACCCGACTAGAAAGTCTCCATCAACCCCTTAGATTCATTCAACAATTTATCTTCATGTTAAATGTAAAGGAAATGCCTCATTTTGTTTGCAAATCGCTGTTCGATCGAGACAGATCTCCGAATAGGTGCTTACAGTCAAATTTGGTATACAAAGTACAACTTTTCTTTTTTAGATCAAATTGATGAGAATTTACGAACAGCAATACAGAAAGATTTGAATGTTATGGCTCCAGGATTATCTGTTCAGGTGTGAAAACCTCATTAATGTATTGTAAATAATAAATATTGATCTGGATATGCATAATTTGCTTTTCCCCCATAAAATAAAATGACTATAGGATTGTAGTGTCTATTAAGGGTTTGAAGTATCTAACTATGAGTTTTTTACATGCACGTTGTAAAAGATGAAACATAACCGTTTCATATTGAAAATTTAATTTCAAAAAGTCGCCGTATTTCTTGTTTTTCCTTAGGCAATAGGACAATATTTTTATGCACATGCATTACATGCATGGGCATATGATTGGGACAACTATATATAAGATGACATGTATTTTTTCAGGCTGTTCGGGTAACAAAACCAAAAATTCCTGAAACCATTCGTAAAAATTATGAATTGATGTAAGTATGATATTTATAATATAGAATTTGTAAATTCTGGTTGTGCTGCTCGGCTATGCATGGAATCCGTGCATGTTAATGTCACTCACTACGGTAGCTATCAATACGTTTGACAGAATATTTGCGTACAACTTTCCTCCTAAGCCTAAGGGCTGTTTACATGAGCCAGGTTACCGAGATTTAAAGAAGCGTAAAATGGACGTTGAAGTATTGAAATGAGTAAATAGCACGATTCTGGTAGTCGTGTTATCATCCTAACAATAGCATGTGATTGTTCTGTTTCAAAAAGACTTTTAAATATCTCAAATTCTCGGTAACCGGGCTCATGTGTTTTCCGTAACGAAAAAAAGTTTTTTTTCACGTAGCGATAACGGGGTTATTTTGAGGGCGAGAATTATGCCATGACATGGTCTGCTGAAAATGATACAGTCATATATTAAGAGTTTTGAGAATTCGGGAACTCGAAAACGTGTGTCTTCACAACAATTTATTCTGACCTTAACTCATGGTGTTAATATAACTATACCGTATACGCTGAATATTTTTAATGTTTTTTGACATAACGACAACAAAAACAACAAAGAAACATACTTAATGTTGTTCCTTAATTTCAACAAGCGTTAATTCTTGTGTTTTGTAACAAAGGGAAGCAGAGAAGACGAAGTTGTTGATTGCTCAACAAAAGCAAAGAGTCGTGGAGAAAGAGGCAGAGACTGACCGAAAACGAGCTGTAATTGGTAAGTTAGTGCTGTTATATTTATAGTAATCTCTTACTTGTATTTGTAAGTATAGTACTATTGTATTTCGAGGCAAATTAAGAAAAATTAACACAACATAATAAATCCAAGGAGCAGCGTGGCAGCGCCTTCGAATAACTTAAGCCTGCTGCACACGAGAGCTGTTAGCTAAGCTAACGACCTCGCGAGGCACTTTATAGCTCAACCCGAAAACAATCCGAACACTTAAGAAACTTGCTTCTCGAGGCGAATTCCTCACGAAAAACTATCCGCACACGAGAGTCACTTGCTGAGCTAACAGCCACGCGTGGTCTTTGGCTCAGCTAATATAGTTCACGTGTGCGGCGGACTTTATAAATAGCATCAAATGAAGTAGGCTATAACAACTGCCTAAAACAGACAAAAACACTTCTCGACGTTTCGACCTGAGGGCCTTCGTCAGGAGAGTTAGTATGACTAACATAATAAATTATAACTAGCAGTAACCACAGGTTAGTGATGTGCGTTCGGAATGTGTTGATTTCGGTTAACGATCATTGACCTGAAAAATGTTAACATTATAACGTCACGGGCTCACAGAATCTATTTACGCCAAGCCATTTACCATACTAATCTGATTTTCAAAAAAAATTTAGAGGCAGAAAAGGTGGCTTCCGTGTCCAAAATTCAGTTTCAACAAAAGATTATGGAAAAAGAAAGTTTGAAGACAATGTCTGAAATTGAAGGTATGGTTTTTCTACCGAAAACAATGGAGCGATAACTCAAGCTAAAATACAGTTTTTCTCATATTTGAGCTCTTGAGTCTAATCATTGGGCTGTATATCAACTATTATCAATCTGTAAACATCCAAAACTGTGAATCAGTGTGGAGATTTTAAGCAAAAAGGAAGATTTTGAAAAAAATTGAGCAACGTACATGCAACTACCATTGGCCGAAAAACGGGGAATAGGGGGATAGTGTCGGGTATATCCTTCTTTATCCCATGCACTAAGATAAGTTTTCAATGACCTAAATTTAATACAAAGCATTACTAGCCAGTTCAGTTTTAATTATTTTCGCAAGACTCATGAATACTTCTTCCACCTTCCACTGTCATCGTTTGCACTGAAAAGAATATTGCAGTGCATACAAACAGTAATATTTTAATTTCTAATTTTTAATTTTTATGGTTGCACTTTGATTGCAATAATGGCTGAGAACTGCAATACAGTACACTGCTTTATTTTTTGCAGATGCCACCAATCTGGCCAGAGCAAAGGGAAACGCTGACGCAGATTATTACTCCGCTGTGAAGGCATCTGAGGCGAATAAGGTTAGTTGTAATCATTGAAATGAATAAATGAGTTATTCATCTCAATTGTAATGGTTCTATATAATTAGCATCAACTGTGGTATAACAACTGCCTAAAATAGACAAAACACTTCTCGACGTTTCGACCTGAGGGCCTGAGGGTTCTATATGATGTATGCCCATATATATATGTCATTTACGGGAAATGATTAACCAGATTACATTTCTCGCCTAGTTTTCAGAATACTTCTTTGTGCATTTTATATAAGCAAGTTCGGGGAGTTTTTATTGTTTATATTTCTGTTGTTCCGTTGTCTTTATTGCGGGATCATTCGATCTAGGGCAAATGATGTTGGATGCAAATAAGTGAATATATATTTGGTATAATCACAAAGGGGATTATTAAAAATTCTGGTCAGATTGATGGAGCGACCTGGGATTATTGCATGCGCGATAAATATAATTAGGCCTTAAATCATTACGTTGCATGTGGAACAGTTTGGAATTTCCCAAGAAATCCACTTAGAGTCTTAGTTCTTACGTAAGCCTAATTCCCAAAAGAATGCAGACACTTGAAAGTTGAAAACACGGCTTGTAACGAGTTGAATTATTACACACTCGTGAATTCTGATGAATATACGATAGCTATAACAAGCTGCTTTAACTTCCCATGATTAAGGTCTAAATTCTTTGGACTTAATTCCCAGGAAATTCCGAGTTTGCGGAGATTTTTTGTACCCCTGTATAGGCAATGCATTATTGTTTGTTATCCAGATACAATTGTTTCTCCCCATTAACATATAAGTACACTTGTAGCTACATATATTAGTATTGTGATGGTGGTGGTACTCTGAGTTACCAAGCTACCGGGCAAGCTAAAAAGTGCCTGACAAGATGGAAATCGTACCCGCGGAATAACTGTTATAAGTCGACTGCTAGTGATTTATGAAATGCGATTATCGTGGCTTAAGATTTTGCTTTGTGGGAGATTCAAATTGGTACATTAAGCACCAAATCTTGTGACATTTGTAAATCTTGTGAGATTTATAAATCTTGGGACTACAACCCTTGAAACTACTGCAAAAATGGACTTGAATTTTATGTTCTTTTCTTTCCCTGAAATAAATGTTGTTTCTATTTAAATTCATGATATTCAATAGACTTTTTCTGCAATTACGTCACAACATAATCGTTTTAAATTTAGAACCACCTTAAATGAGATGGAGTTCAAGTTTACTCTCCCAAGCTATGTATATAACCCATGCATGAAAATATTTTTTCGTTTTAACTAATAAGTATGGAAATAAGCCATAACAAGAAACGAGGCTCTCGGTCTTGGCCCCTCAGCCAAAACCAAGAATATTTTTTGTGCATGGGTTGAAGAAGGATGTTTTGCATCTTTGAAAATGGCTCGTGAAAGAAAACTTGAATTCAGTTTCATTTAAGGTGGTTCTAAATTTAAAACGTTGTGATGTTAAAATGTTGTAACGTAATTGCCGAAAAAGTCTATTGGTTGCAAACATTGTTCCTGGGGGAGGGGACGTTTATAGGAATAAAGACAGTAATTCTTAAGGTATACCTCAGTGATTACCTCAGTGATACCTCAGTGATATACCTTAGTGATTAATCGACAAAGTCTCAACATGTTTTGTCGAAGTTTGGAAATTCAGGACTGCGAAGACAAAAAAAACCAGAACAACTTCTTAAATTAAACATTTCATTTTTCCTTTTTTTTAGCTTAAACTGTCTAAAGAATTCCTAGAGCTAGAACGATACAGATCATTGACGAACAATTTAAAGATCTATTTTGGACCTAACATTCCGAGCATATTCTATTCGTCGAATTTTGCTGAAGAATTACAAAAACGATCCCAAGCAGTGAAGACTAAAGTTACGGAGAAGAATTCTGAAGAAACGCCCTCGAAATGAACAGGCTTATCTTTGGAAATTTGTTAAAGTTAGTATAGTTTGCTCACCAATTTCTCATAGTTTAATCATGGATAATAAAGATAAATGGATAGGGAACTTGTGGTTGCGCAGTGACGTTTTGAGCGCGCGGTTGGCTGAAACCTAGTCGCAAATCGACCTCGTACCCGTGGTGTTCGCTCAGCCTGCCCTGGGAACGAGTTTGGCTGCAAATCTTGACATCACCAAATCCTGAAAAGCTGCACGTTTGGCAATAATGCAGCAGAAAATATAAAATAATGTAATCAAAAAACAATTTTTTGCCGTTCTATATGATGAAATCTCTAGTAATCCGAATCAAAGAAAGGCACAAAAAATTGTGCCCAAAATTTAGTTAAAATGCTTTGAATTCTGCAATTTCAGAACTATGGCAAATTCGTTTTTTATATTTAATTTTTTGGCAAGAGATTTGGCATGAGGTAACGCGTTACTCAGCAAAAACAGTGAACAGAAGCAGTGACAACCCCCCTCCCCAAAAGCCTTATTATTAGGTTTACCAGGGGGGGCGATGAATTTTGTTCACGGTACTTGCTGAGTGACGAATCATGTGGCGCTTACGCAAACTACACTTGAGACGACTTCCTGTATGTGCTGTATGTTATGTGGTGGTCATGATCAAAACAGCTAGTCCCCTATCCAAAGTATTATTATCCATGGTTTTGCACCCCGTCCACGTGTGTCTCGGTTTGTTTGTAGCTATTTGCAAATTTTGTCGCATTTACGTCTACACACACAACAAATACACTAATTTCGCAGTTGAATCAATATATCATGCACGCAGCAACTTTTCTGGAAATTGCAACGCAAACTTATAGACAGAGAAATAACGATGTATGCAAGAATATTGGTTTCTGATGCTAAACATGGCCTGAAGGCAACAAGTCGTAAGAATGATAGTATTAAGGGTCACTTAAGTGAAACACGTGTCACGATGGATGCTTTTTTCGTTCGCAGCTATACTTCCGAGATTGAACTGCAAATTGCGTTGATAACTGCTCCAAGTCAATGACTATGCAATATGCCATGAGGGTTTCAATTCTGAGACTCGCTCGCGTTACCGCAGAAAACAGCAAATAGTTGAAATGAGTTTTTAGAATCTTTCACCTCATTTTGTTCTCTCAAAAACATCAAGATGCTAGCTGACAGTTCTATATTTCATGAACATTTTAACCTTACCTCCATCACCAAAGTCACGTCGAACAAGGCTCTGTTACAAGGTGCATTTTTTCCCCTGCAACTTGCGAAGTCTTCAAAATGTAAGCTAGTGCATAAGAAACGTCCATGCAGTGCATATAAATACAAAAATTTCGAAGTCCACAAATCTACATCTCACAAAACAAGTTCCATGAAAAATAACATCACTACCAGGATCATTTACTCATTTCAATACCAAGTCATTTCACACTTCGTTTAACCTGGACTAAATATGATCATGTATACACTTATTTAGGAAAATATATGAATATTAACTTGTACCCCAATTAGCTATTCTTTCTAATGGATGCGCACTCTGTGTCACTGTCAGCCAATTTTGTGACATTGCTTTGTAAACGATGCATGTGGACGATATAACGACATTTTTTTCTGTATAACCTTTATAAGAACAATGAATAAAGACGTTTTTATTCTAGTTGGTTAAGCTTCATAAAGCCCTTAAGTGCATTAGAATTAGTGAAAGAGAAGAATGCTGGTATGTAAGGGTGCTTAGTTCCTCATTTAGGGTTTCTCGTTAGTCAGCGTGAGAATAAAATGGAAGGCATGGCAGTCGTATCAATCGCGTATATAGCATTTCTCGTTGTAAATATGCAACATTACAGCTTGGTTTGAGGTGCGGAATAAGGGACCTTTCGGCTATCAATAACAATATATATAATTAATCCTTGAACGGAAATGTATAATCAAAGTTATATAGTCTCTATTTCAATTACACTCAAACATCAAATCACTGATTCTCACATGTGATAACGTCGCCATATCATGTCCTATAGCAACTCCAACTTTAGTCGTTAGTCTTTCTTGTCATAAAACTCCCTGAATTCGAACACGGAACAAATTGTTATTAACATCTGCCTAAAATAGACAAAAACACTTCTTGACGTTCCAATATTTGCAAAGTATCGATGATATTTTGACGAGTCTCCTTTATTATCGTCTTTGTAAGTTTTAGTCGTCATGATTACTTTTAGATATTGCTCTTTATGAAAATTTCGGCTGCAACGGTGCCGACAAAATTTTCCCTTTTATGCATGCTTGCATTGCCAGTGATAACTGACACTCCCGCTAACTATGTATTATTATAGATTGCTAGAAAACAAAAGTTCTTTGTTTTCTGATATTATCAGGAGTTCATATGGAATTATTTCTTGTGAGAATAAAATGTCAGATCGTTTCTCAATGGAATAATATTTTTTTCTCCGGGTATAAATGTTTTTTCATGCCCCATGCCCATATCGCGCGACTTCAGGGTTCACACTATGCCATTCGAAAACTTGCACGGATAGAAACCATATATGTTCAAAATTGATACTGATATATAGGGAAGTGTCGTGTAAACACTAAGCCTGGTATCAGCACAAATATTTGAAGAAAGAAATCCTATATGGTGTCTTGGGCCTGACTGCAATGAAGCTTATTTTCTCTCACCAAACAAGGGTGAAATTCCACGCTATCAGTATCCATTCTGCTTCCATGATAGCGCAACATTGAGTCTACTCAGTCGAATGCAACATTGTCTGGTATTATGATACTTTACTCTAAGAGTAAAAACCAGACTGTCTCCCCTTCCCCCCATTTCACGTCTTCTCATACCGTGTCTCGCTGCTTCTACGCCGCTAGGTCCTAGAAAAGCAAAGTCCCATATGGCATGACTTCAACAAATTAATTCGTGTTTCATGTTACGCATGACAAGTTTATTTTGTAATTTTCTATTTTAAATATTTGCCGACGTCGTGGGTTACGCCCCAATTTAATATGGCCGGAACTTCACGCCATATTCGCGGTGTGTATTTTATATTTCTGTTCATGTACACCGCGAAAAACAATCGCGACAACCAACTTACAATCTCCCTAAACACTACAGTATACAGTGAAAATTACGCTTCTTACATGCCTCATTTACATGCAAGGACATATATGCAGCGAACTTTCTCGTTGCTGTGAGTGAAGCTCTTAGATCTCATTGACGAAGATATCTCCAAGAGCAATGTGACTCTATAACTATATAAATAAATGAACAAAAAAATGCAAATCCGTCATTACGAGTATTTTCATTAAAATAGACTAAGCTTCATTTATTATTGTATATTTGCATGTGAAAGACCGGCCTCGCCTATACACTGTGCAACACGTTATTATAAAAAAGTTCATAAAACAAAAGTAACGCCTTTCAAATGATGGGATCTTAAAACTGCTTACAAAACAGTTTATTGAAACTAGTCTACATCTTCATACATAGTCACTTATATTGGAAAAAAGATAACATGTATATGGATAGCTGTTGCAAGCGCGCGTTTTTTTTATATCGTAATTTATTGGTGATCTTGACATTGTCCTGAGCCACAATATAAAAAAATGCTTACTGCCATACTGGTCATGGAAGAAAGCAATGTAAAATGTCTCCACTTAAATTAAATCCCAAAATGATGAAATTGGGGTGAGAAAAAGAAAGAAAAAACAGAGTCCACAGCCCCCCTTTTAATTTCTTCCGTAAGGCCCTTGCCACATAACCTCATAACTATTATTTACTATGACTTCATAAATATTTCACGACGGTATTTCCCCCTTGACTGAAAATTTTGCATTGATTTTTTATAATAAAAGAAAACACCGATTGATCAGCTGGAGTGCGATTTCTGTGACGGCGTAGCAACACTAGGATGACCAGACTAAGACAGATAGATAACACATAGGAAGTTTTTATATAAATGGCTGTGGTTTAAGGCTCAAGGCTATTTGTGTTTAAATGGTGTTTTTCAGCATTCAACTGCATGCTTTTTACCGGTGTTTGATCAGTTTCGTCTTTCTCTCTTTTTGTAGAGAATATCAGTCCATAGCGTTTTTGAGACTTTGAGTGTTGAAACACGAGTTATGCAAATAAAGCTAGGAATTTACATTATCACGATTGGCCAATATTGTTTGTTGCCGAAATGGGAAAATATTAATCCTCATTCAAACAGCTAAGTATTTTCGGATATAGCCATATAGGCGAGTTTTGCGTGCATCAACGTATTTCTGAAACAAATGCCACTTGGTTTGGTGGGTTTAAAATTAGTATTAATTGAATCAATAGATCGGACATCGCCAAATGAATCCGAAATAGACGAGTTTAAACGATTAAAACGGCAGTGCTTATAGCGCGCTGGAACAACACGCCTTCCGCATTCTTTGTTTAGCCGCAGGGACAACCCCAACTGGCCGCGATGAGACGTGTTCAATTTCAAAGGCTTTGCTTTTCAACGTCCGGTCTGACAAAGTTAGTTTGCATATGAAATAATCGCCTGATACCGTAGAAAGAGAAATATTTGGCGCGATTGACCGATATTGTAGTCCATTTGCCATCGGTGAGTTGCGAGAAGTAAGGTAAGGATTTAGATTTATATGTATACAATTAAATTAGAAAATTTATCTAATGCAAATTACGAACTGTGGGAAACTATATTCTCAAGTTCTCAACAACATACATTGTTGTAAGTAATTGAGCAGATATTTATACGTTTTACGAATCATTGAAAGCCAGAAACATATCCTTAGCTAAACTGTTACACACAATGCTTTAGTTTCTCGTTTACCAGCGGGTTTTTTAGGCTATTGTCAGGAATAATCTATTGTGCAACGATTGCAACATTTTGGCAGAAGTGAGTCAGTGACATTCGTTCGACCTTGTCGTCACAAATCAAAACGATTTTTCAACCCATTTTCCGTTGTGCAAACCTCATAGTTAAAGCTTAATTGTGAGAGTCAATCAAGTTCGTTTGTACACTTTCTTTTCGTGGCAAATGCCATCAGAAGATTTGTTATCTCGTAAAATATATTACCCGGAAGTGTGGGAATAGACTTGCCAGTCTAATTGCGACAAATTGAATTCGAAAGCGTTCGGAACTTTGGGCGCACGTATCTTTGTTACAACTCAAATTTAAGAGTTTGTAAACGTATTTTAGTTAAACCCTGTTTTATTACTGTACTCGTGTTATTGGAGATGTCTTTTTGTTAAAGGAATTTGATTAATCAGATCCGTAATCAGATCTAAAGTTTCAATCGAATCATTGAATACCAAAGACGAAAAAACTTGTTTATTTCCTGCCTTTTTGCTTGCTACCAACACCTAAGCATCTAAAGTTATCGCAACCAGTGTGGTATTTGCGGAGAGTAGATCACTAGAAACGTGTTTAAAATTTTATACAAAAGAACGAAAAAAACGCTTCTGACTATGATGTACCTGTGACATTCTTGGAATGCACAATGAATTAAGACTAGCATGTGTCAAATATTAACAGGTGTCAAATAGCTAGGGCAGGTATAGAAACAGTTTGTTATGATTTTATTAGCCATGCCTATGTTTTGAAATAGTTGCTTTCCAATTACTCATAACTGGTTTGTTGACAACTACCTAGACCTTTGCTGAGTCAACAAACACATAGGTAGCTCTGGAGACAAACAGGTCAATTTCTTGTTTATTTTGTTATAATTTCAATTTGGTGCTTGCAATATTTTGAAATGTGAGCACCATGTTGAAATGATAAAAAATTGCAGAAATTTGACATGTTTTTAAAGCTACCTGTGTGTCTGTTGACTTAGCAAATTTCAGGTAGTTATTAACAAACCAGTAATCAGAAACAAACTGTTTCAAAACATGGGTATAGCTAGTAAAATGATAACAAATTGTTCCTTTACCCTAGCTGCCATGGCTATATGACACCTGTTAAATAGATGTAATGATAAATGATGTAATTCAAAGATTTAGTTGGTGTGTGTGTCACAAATAATAGTTGTTGCGGTTTTTACTTGCTGCTGGGAGTTCATAAAATTTTTTTATTATTATTAATTTTTATTATCAGTACATAATTGTGGATTGTTGTGAATCATTGTTGGGTATTACTTTTTAAAATTAGTTACTACAGCTATGTCAATCAATAAAGGCAAATATATTTACCTTTAACTTTAATGTTTGATAATAGGCCATTTTGCACCCCACAGGTGTATGGAGAACTATCAAGCATTTGAAGTGCAGTGTTCCTTTTAGAGTGACTATAATGACACAGGCAATTGTAATATACGACTTTAAAGCAACTGAAGCGACTGAACTTACAGTTTACAAGAATGAAATTCTGGAAATCAATGAAAAGGGCGAAGACTGGTGGAAAGTAGTCAATAAATATGGACAATCTGGACTTGTCCCAGTAAACTTTTTAGCTGCTCCAATCACAGACAATGTAAAGGTTATTTCTCGGGGTAAAACAAAGAAGGGCCACAAAGCAAAGAGTGAAAATGAACTATCAATTGAAGAAGCTACTCAAGTAGCTGTTTTGGATAAGGCTGATGACTACTGGTGGTTCATTGGTTACAATGGGGAAACAGGATTCATTCCTAAACATATAATACATGAATTTAAGGTAGGCTACATTTGAAGTCAGTGACAATCCAGGGAATCTTTTTCAAGAATCTTGCATGCTGGTGATTCAGAAAACAATATGTGTCTGTCATATCAAGCAAAATGTTTTAGTCATTGTTATTTGTCTGCAAAATTTCCTTTTTGGACCAATATTCTTGATTTTAGCCAAAGGATACATTTGAATTCAGAGAAATTGCACCCAAAAAAGCAATTTGTGATGTAAGTATCATCCACAATTTTTTCCATTGTAGTAATAAACTAATTAAGGAATGAGTGTGCATGCCAGCCCGACCGAACAGTCCCTTTCCCAAACATCCCTAAATGATGTCACCCTTGTGGCTATAAACATGTGGGGTTGATATTATGGCAAAATGGGAAGTCAGTATTCAATTCATGTATATACCATATTATATATTATAGTCATATATGCAGTACATATATATGCATTATTGTTTTACATTTTGTTTTAGGTAGAAACAACTGTTTTATTCTCCTTTAAAAAGCCATTGCCTGATCAAGGGGAATTTGTGGTCACATTTAAGGGAGATCATTGTGAGAAAGTGGTAGATGGGGAAAGGCTGAATGATTTTACCATTAGAATGAAAAGTCCAAGTATGTGACTATATGCCCAGTGTGGGAATGCATGAACTTGCCAATACGGGAATTACAACTTGGGCAGAAAAGATTAACCTAATGTATTAGTTGTATCTTTATTGGTGTATGGTAGTTTATTGGGATCCTGTTATTCAATGCTTGATTTGTTTTAATTACCCCGGGTTAAATTTAACCCATTAAGATTGACCTGTTTTATTCAAACTTCATGCATTAACTTGCCAACTTGTGGAAGAACTTGTTAAACAGTTCCACATCTTGAGTACAGAACTTCTGTTTTTGCCAGTGAAATGCCGAGCCTTAATTCCCTTATTGGGTAGTTTGTTTTTTGTTGTCTTTGGCAGTCATGTACACATTCTGTTGAGTCAGATACTGGTTTCATCAGAGGAGGGATTAGCCATGCAAGGCCATCACTAGAACCTAAGCTCCAGTCGGGCATTACACAAATATATGAATTAAGCTTCCCTGCAGCGATGGCCCTGTAGCCATGCAGCCTGGGCCATCTTGAGAAAATTCTTTCTAAAAATAAATAATAAAATTAGCTTAATATTCTCACAAATGCAGAAGGTCGATAGTCTATAGGTGATTTTGCCCAACTAATTGGACCAAATTGTCCATCATTTAATATCGGCAAGTCCTGCACATGGAATATTCTGTGTAAACTTTGTGTCTCAATGTTTCAATTGGCTCTGCCTGGATTGTTGCTGCACCCTTTCCCCAAAATAACTATTCCTTATATGACCGTGGATATCATAGCGATTATAATTTCTGGACATTTCCCTAGAATATTTCCCACCGGAGAAAACCGTAGTCACAATAAACCACCTGAATGGGCAGAAGCAACAGTCGATCCTCAAAGGCATTGACTTTTTGTTCCAATCCAAGATGGACTTGGTTCACAAGATACTATCCACAGAAACAGATCCTCTTAATTTTCTGTGTTCATCGTTCCAAATTGGCGACTTACAAAACGTGGATCATATACTATCTGGGAACTTTGACAAAAAGGTACCTGAGGGTATTGATTTACTAAAAAGTTCCAAAAGTGTTTTGGTGCAAGATCAAGGTATGTAATATATTTTTCATTTTGCTATATGTTAATTTAAATGGTTGAATAGTGAACGTTTCGACTGTAATGATTCAGGTTTAGGTAGTAATTTTTTTTCGCATCTCGACGAGAATAAAATATGTATGTAATGCTGATCAAAATTGGTCACAAACGGTATAAATATGATCGAGTGCCTTAAGGGGTCTATTTGCTCGTAGTCATTTAAATCTGGTACATTTTAGCTACAGCCGAGACTAAAGTATAAGAACGTACGTTATAAACATTCAACTCAACTGTTCTCTGTATGTACATATTATGTAGAGTTCATTTATAGAACCGTGCGTTTGCAATTCAACAATGAAGCATTTTGAGATAGTCAAACGTCATTTCGTATTAGGGTATTAGTAATTCCATATGTCAAAACACCTCGTATTAGTTATATCAAAAAAGCAATAATATGGCAAAAAATGTTTGATGATGTTTGCATAAAGCTGATAAAAGGTTTGTTTTTAGTCTACCCCAAGGAAACGCCGACGTTGCTGCATTTCGCGGCATATTATGATCTTAAGAAGCTTGCAAGAAGTTTGCTCAAATGTCCTGGCGCAAAAGAAGCAATGTCAATCAAGAATTGCCACGGAAACGGGCCTGTTGGTGTGGCCCAAATGAGGAAGCATGAAGATCTTGAAAGAATATTGCAAGATCATCAAGTGCGTAATTTGATATGTATGATTGATAAGTGGTAGTATTTGTCGAATCATGTTTTAGGACCAGGGTCTGTGGTATATTTAGTGAAGGTTTAATTGTGGTACGGAATTGCGTATGGCATGAAATAGTGCAGTATTGTAATGGACTAATGGTGTTGTGTTTGGGTAAGGGTTAGGTTTTGCTACTGTATGTTATGTTTAGTTGGGTTGGGTTAAGTTCGCAGTTGCAAAAAGATTTCAACCTTATTTCGGGTAGGATTTCATGTTTTGAAAACCTTTTTAAAAAAGACATCACGTAACTGAGGCAAGCGTCAACCAGCAAAACGTAATATTGTTTTTTGGTACATGCATATGATTGATTAGAGGTTCAATTTTGAACCATTCTCACAAACCTCATTTACAGTAAACCTTCCTCACGGGTGGTACCTTAGTCTGTGCCTGTGTGGTGTGGACTCAGGCAAAGGCTACGTGATACCCGTGTGCCCGCTTATAAGTTGTGTTGGATTGTGCTGTGTTGGGTTGAGTTGAGTTGGATTGTGCTAACTTTGTTGTGTTTTGTTGAGTAACTAGGTTATATCTGTTGTGTTGGGTTGGGTTGGGTTGGGTTGGTTGGGTTGGGTTGGGTTGGGTTGGGTTGGGTTGGGTTGGGCTGGGTTGAGACGTTGTGTTGTGTTGAGGTGGTTAAAGTTGGGTTAGGTTGAGTTTTGTTCTGTTGTGTTTTCTGGTTAGGTTATATACTATATCATATTGTGTTGTGTTATGCTGTTCTGTATTGTGTGGTGTGGTTTTGTATTGTATATAGTTATTGACAATACTGTTTTCAAAAACGTTCTTGTTTTGTTTTTCTTCAGGCTAATAAAAACGTAGATTACGTTCATGATGAAGAAGACGAATACATGAGCATGGAGGATTGTTATGAACGATACGTACAGATGGATGGTGGACAGTATGTCCATCTCGACCAGAAAAAACACGGCTTGAAACTCGATGAGGACGAAGAACTATATGAAGATATGGATGGAGGGAAACCTGCGGATCGTAAGCATCTTTGCCCATATATAAACATTCTATAATATCTAATTTACACATTCACGACATTGTAATTATGTTCTCTGGCACCTGTGAAACATAGAAAATGAAATGTTTTTACTGAACCTAATAGGGATTTGGGAGATTAGGAGTCTAGAGTGATTAGACTGTCAAGTACTAAAAAATCTATTTAATAAGTTTTCCGTTGTTGGTATAAAACCAGACAAAAATGCAGGATAGTTCTTGCTCATTGTTCGCAATTTTAAAAGTTTGTATAAAACTTCGAAGACTACCCAGGAAGAAAGGTGGCAGTTTCGTCAGCTAATCTTGTCATCGAATATGCTTTAGAAATGCTTCAAATACAAATTGAGAACGTTCTCGACATCTTGAACTAAGGTCCTTTGTCGGTACTTTAATCGGAAAGTCGAGACGTTTTCTTGTCATATAGTTTAGGCAGCTGATTATAAGTGATATGGAGAAGCCATCATGCTTCCCCCCGGTGCATATATGGTAAAAAGATCGATATGTAGCTAAGATGTAAATTTGGGTATTCTGTAGTTTATACGTACACATGTAAAGGGTGTTCCAGGAACACACATCCTTCTGTAGATGAGTGGATATTTTGTAGATATGAATTTATTATCTTAATTAACCTGCATTTAGCAAAGGAAATATACGACACGCCACGTAGTGAGGATCGGTTCGAGCCTTATGACGATGATTTAGATGATAATGCAAATAAAATCGACCAGGAATCCGAAATGGAAAAGAAAATGGAGGAATATAAAGTTTGGGGTAGAATGACAGAGAAAGAGGTCCAGCTGGCGCTACTGATGAAACGCGTCAAAGAAAGATATATAACCCAGGAACAGGCTCTAGAAATGGCGCGAGTACTTCGTTTGGAGGTAAAAACAATTTATTTTACAACTAACTTACAGGTTTTGAAGCCGCAAAGCTTAAAAGATGCTTGAAAAATAGAAATATTAATCACAGTAACTTGCACAATTACAAGATCTGGGGGAGTCTGACCGCCTGGACAACTTCATTTATCGCAAAATCTGTAAAAATCGTACATCACGTTTCTCTTATAGCCTCAGGCTTCTTCGTCGAAAGCTCCTGACGTGACTAAAAAAAGGAAGCCAAGGGTGCAAAAACGAGTATCAGGTGAGTCTGGTAGCTTCAGTTGGTCAATGACACGACCCCAGCACCATATACCCTACTTTCAATTCGTCCATCTCTGCATTGTAAACAATTTACAGAGCCTGAACAGTTTAATAAGTAAAAAGGCAGAAAAACGATTGAAAGTGTCAGAAGACCTCCTCCGCAGGCCCTTTTTCAGGCAAATATGGTGGGCGGTGAAATTTTGCGGGTCCGAAATGCTCCCTAGCGCCTGCGGTGGAGGTATTCGGATAAAAGTGTTGTCATAATTCTTGCAAATCTTTCCCCAGTGGTTAAAAACCTTGGCAACATTCGCAGATCACAGTCTGCTACGAACATCATTATGTAAACAGATTTTTAAATCCATGCAAAATGCTTTTGCAAATTTAGACCCCCCTCGCCTCGCCCAAAAAGCTCAAATTTCACCGTCATATAGGGGAGCAGGTGTAAACAATCCTAGTTATCCTACGATATAACTTTTCTGTATATTTTCTGATTCAGCACCGGAAATTCAAGGTCCTGGAGTACCTGAGAGAAAGGTATAGCTTTTTCATCCTTGGAATTAATGATAGATTTTAACTAGTATACCTATTTTAGTTTATATATAATTAAGATTTCCGCTGAGGCAGAAAGTTTGCAGCAACAGGATGGCCCTTACATGTCCTCTACGGGAATAGTCTAGAACATGCATCACTGGCGGAGAAGATCGGGTTATAATAAAACATTTTTATAATTTAGACTCAATCGCTGCCACGAACGATGTCGACAAGTTCTAGTTCCAGTAAGTTTATTTGGTTGTCAGAAGGTTCAAGAGTGTTGCATATAATATTATATTCATCGTATTATTCATTTCTTTAGGTGCCAGCAGTGTGGGCAGCACTGGATCAGCGGGTTACGGGGTAGGTGTTTACATTATATAAAAAAAAGTTACAAGAATTTTAGAAGTGATCAAAGCAGAAAGTTTAGTCACAATATATTAATTTTATGGTCAAGAGATTTCAGTTGCACTTTGACGACGTGGGCAAGTGATTTTGAGTGCGCTATTGGACGTACATACACACAGGAACAAGACTTACCCAGACATGAATTCTTTCTTATTTAGAGTGACAGACCTCCTGCACCAGCCATGCGAAAACCAAAGGTAAAGTATCTTGCTTTCTATATTCTATAATGTAGCGTCAGCGGCCTGAGGTGACGTTTCAACGTAAGACCGCAATAAAATAAAATGTATTTCATGTTTTTTTTCTTTCGGGTTATGTTTTGGATAATCCTACTGAGAAGCAAATCCTTCTTCAACATGTGCATGGAAATTTTTTTTTAAACAGTTTTAAATCTGATATAAGCCATACAAGAGAACATGACTCAGGTGGCTAAGACCTTGAGCCTTGCCATGTTTTCATGTCAAACACGTTTCCTTATTCATCGGTCAAAATGCAAATTGTGTTTATGACACGTTTGTTGAAAAAGGATGTTTTGCATCTTTGCAGACAGCCTGTGAAAGCAAAGGCCCGCACAGACAGGGCGCGAATTGGCAACGCGGCGTGAATTTTCAACGTTTTATATTTTTCAAAAGCAAATAAATTTTGACCTAAATAAATTTTCTTGTAGATCACATAAAAATAATACATTTTTCGGCTGCTCTGGCGTCCATAGATTCCAAATTTTGATCCCAGAATTTAATTCATATGCTTCTGAAAACTCAAAATTTGTATCGCGTTTGCCGCTTCGCGTCCGGTCTGTGTCGACCTTAAAATTAAGGCTTGAAATTCAGTCCATCTAAAAGTGGTGCTATAGGTTATAAACAATGATGTTGTCATGTGATTACAAGTTGGTCCATTTTTTCTGCGTAGCATGTTTCAGAACGCTATTAATATTGCATGTAGCACACAATCTAAATTTCAGTTCTTTCTGTGCAGTATAATAATTGCTTCTTATTTCATAATTACATGCAGGTCTCCAAGCCACCCAGTGGAGCATTTAATTATCTGAAGTCGTCAGATACGCCAAAACAACCAGGTAAGGCTTTCGGGTGATGGATGCCTAATATTAATGCTATAATTTCTTCCTAGCCAAGTGGGTTATGCTATAGTCTATACGTAGATATCTTTTCTGTTAAATTTCCGAGCTGAGTTCAATGCGACGGCTTTCATTTCAAAAGAATGTTCAAATATTTCATTCGTGAAAAAAATGACCTGATAGATAAATCACAGAGTAGCGAGACATGTTAATGTTAGATTTCTTTTTTCTACTATACATACTGTGTGTACAACTTTCAAAAATTCATACACGATAGGTTAGGGTGAGCTTGTTTGTAGAAGACTCGTGTGCTTACAAAAGTTCTAATTGCAATAAAATTCTCTTCCATTCAGGAACACCACCTCCAAACTCTCCGCGAAGAGTGAAACGTACTCCGTCCGACCCTCCGCCACCCACCCCCGTACCCCGGGGGCCAAGACGTTAACGACCTAGCGTTAACTATAGTTGGATTGGTGAATCATTTTAATGATTCTTCGTGGATGTAGCTGGTCTATATCCGATATTCCAAACGACTTTTTGCGTCGTTGTCCTGTTGCGCTGAGCAGAGTACATTACCGAGATTATAATTCGACTAGGCCCCTGGGCAATTGAAAATTTGGGCGACATGGTTGTACGTTTGCCCAACTATATACACCGAGAGCGTTAAAAATCCCATGTAGCAAAATCCGCATAAAAAAACCTTAGATACTACTTTCCTAAAAGCCTAATTTTTTAGCTCGAGCTATAAGAGCCAGGGACCGGTTGTTCAAAGCTAGATTATCGCTAACATTAGGTAAAATTTAATCCACTGTTTTAAAACACTGTTCGTTTTAAAACGTTATAACGTTAAACGTCTTTTGAACAACTGGTCAATGGCCCCCGCTGCAGGGTGATTATTTAGAATTCAGATTACATAACATTAAACACTCACAGCGAGCTATTAAGGTATGCAACGACGTCAAGGGTAACGTTCGAGATGAAAAATCGTCTTTCGCGTTTTTATGTTTTTTTTCATGTGGTTTTTGCTGCAGACTATACGCGTAGCTATTTCATAGCGTATATAACGAATAATTTAGAATCGCAAATATTATCCAATGATCAAATGAACGACGCTGAACAATTTACATTCGTGGGCAAAGTCCATTCAGTACTATAGTATACTCAGTTGCTTTACTTAGTAATGTAATGTCTACGACAAATAACTAAATACTAAATGTAATGTCTACGACAGACTATGTGGTTTCTATTAGTCAAAATTGTCGCGAACACGTCAAGGTGACGGATGTAAAAGAATATTTCTCATCTGAAATATTTTTCATCGATAAAATGACTTGTTCACGACAATTACTAATATATGGAAACAAGCCTTTATTAGTTGATAAACATCCATAGAAATGGGTAGTACAAGTAAATATATTTGTAATTGTTTTTGATATGGAATTTTTTAATGGTCATAGACTTAGTGAGTTTTTTCGTATATATAGTTTAGTAAGCTAAAGAAAATTATTTGTGGTTTTATATAATTATGTAAATAAAGATATGCCATGTAACTAGAAGACAATATCCTTCAGTTGTTTTTAAAAAACCCCTTGATTATAACTATTCATAAAATGTTGTAAATGGTCGGGACCCATCGCGACCAGCTGCTGATTCTCGTGCAAGTGCCTCGTAGCCTATAACCTATATAGTGGCTAGCTGTTGCGCATTAAAAACAAAGGTATAGGAAGTAGTCTGGTGGCGGACTATGGCTATGTGCATACAGTAACGTTTTCGAGCGTTTTCACATTCGTTTTTACGCCAGAACGATTACAAATTAAACACCATCAATTTAGGATAGAAGTTAAAGCTGATTTATATATTGAGCGTTTTACTTTTTGAGTGCGTGCATATAGCCTCCGAGTTCGCTCCACACCAAATTGATCGGGTTTGTCATGCTTGATTTTTCTCTAAACAAATAAGGTTTGATAAATGTCTAAATCTACAATCATTTTCGAAAGCTAACGTAATCTGGTGTGAGACAGGACCCGTTAGAATGCTGCCATGTGCACGGCTAACCCAGAACGAAGACGTAATCAAAATACAAATTGTAGATTAGTTCCATTGGTAGAAGCAACATGCATGTTTCAGTGTATCCCGGTTTAAGTTAAAAGTTCATCTTCCTACAGCTGTGCGCTCACTTCGCTGACATGGGCAAGATCTTCATAGCTCATCAGTATTATGTTTAATATCGTCAATGTTCATTGTAGCCAATGGCGGATCTAAGATCCCGTTTACACTAGAGCGAAAGTTTCCGGATTCATCACGAAAGCGGAATGTTTTAGTACCGGATTCATGTTGCTGTTTACACACGCAGCAACGAATCCGATAGAAAATGTACTCGGTTTTGAGCCGTACTAGAAACTTTGAATCCGTAAAAGTTTGTGGAAACTTCGTATCCAGAAACATTTGAATCCGGAAAATTTTCTTGTGTAAACGCTTTGCACGACGAATCCGAAGAAATTCAAACGTGACGACCAAACAATTCTCCAAGAACAAGTAATGTGAGTGTAAACGGACAAATCCACATACAGAGACAACTAAAGTGTAGTGCCGAACACCTGGCGAATCCGATATACATGTGCGTAACAATGAATCCGGATAAATTTACAAATCCGGAAACTTTCGTTCTAGTGTAAACGGGATCTAAGGGTGTGCAGAATATATTACACAGCTTAATTTTAAATTCAAACGTCAAACTCCTTAATAACAACGCTATTGGTTATAGATTTGAGAAGAATATTTTTACATTAAAATCTGCCAATGCAATTCCGATTTTAGCTGAAGTAATTTATTCTTCCAGTTCCAGCCAATTTATTCTTCCAGCCCCAAGATCCGCCACTGACTGTAGCCTCAAGCGTATGTCAAGTTAGTGTCATCTGCAAACGTGTTATTGGTTGGTAAAACACGAAATGGTTGCAATTTTTCAGTTTTTAAAAGTAAGTTGTAACAAGAACATTTTTGCCAAGGTGCTCACAATATTGTTTGCAGTTATTCACACACACTGACCCCGTCAACTGCACTGATTTATTGCACTGATTTATCAAATCAAACTCCTGTGACTCCTGTCGCAAATGACGAGTGTTGACATTTTGAATGATGGAAAATAGTGCAGTTAGTAAACTAAGAGAAAAATGGCGGCGGATCGCCACAAAGATTTGGGATGTTTAAACGACGAAAAAGATCTCGAAGAAGGCGAAATTGATGATTTAGAAGAAGGAGAAATAGACGACGATTTTGAAGGCACTTCTGAGTACAGTTTCAGCGCGAAAGAAGAAAAAATAGGCAGCGAAATTGCTCACCAAACAGAACACAACAATAGTCATCCAAAATCACAATGCTTCAGTCACAAGCAACGGAATTCAAATCGAAGCACAAAATACACACGAGATAAGGATGGGAAAAGAGAAGATACTCATTCTACTTGGAATTATGAGAAAGTTGGTAGAAATCGGGCCGTTTCTAAGCAAAATTTCGCTGGCAAACGATCGCATGAAAATGTATTGCGTGCTGAAAGGTATAGGTTACGAGGTGAAGCAGGGTGGTATGATAAACAAAGTTGTATCCTTTTATACTGCTAATTCTGATAAATTTGTGAAAGTGAAAGCGAAACTACAACGAAAATTAGAATTAATACTAAAATAGAATGAGTATGTCCATGCACATCACGTTTGACAATTTTATATTTAGGAATTCATTCATTATTAATGATGAATGAATTCCTAAATATAAAATTGCCAAACGTGATGTGCATGGACCTAAACATGTCATTCTATTCTAGTAATATGATTACCTGCAGGTTATATGACATATGCATTCATAATTTCTGTTTATAAAATAATTTAGTATCACATAGATACGCACCATATCTATAATAACCAAGGTTTGGAAATTTATTCTGTTGACCAATGTTAATAAGGCACCAAAGTTAGGTAAACTGTAAAACTTTTGCACTAGCCAACTTTGTGTGAAGTAAAAGCTAAATTGTGGCACTGTGATTGATCAGTGAGAGAATACGAAACTTAAGTAGGCCTAAGTAGGACTACTTCCCACTTTTCATCTATTTTCACATACAAGCCCAAGTAATAGACTGAAAGTTGACTTCACACCTAATCTTATTCTTTACTGCAGACCCTCTCTGTGGCCTCTAGCATTAAATTCCACAGGATGGTCTGATAACATTATTAACTAACATTATTATGCTACAGCCCAATAAGAGAGCCTCCCTCTTTTCTCCACTATGCAATAGTATTTTGGGAATTCAAATAACTGGCCAGAGCATAAAAATAATATTTCGCCTTCTGCTTTGCCACTATATATGCTGCAAAGCTACATATATTCTAAAGGGTCTCTATAATCTAAACATCCACTTGTCCACATCTATCAAAAGATGGTATATATGGACATTGCGGTGGGTAGATTCATGATGTAGTGTATATTATAATTCATAAGGCCTGTTTACACTTGCAATTTTAGCTGTGATTTTAGATGTGATTAACTTCTTTTGATAGAGGTGAATGAGTTTTTTGTATTCAAATAGCGGGACTTGTACACAGTTTGTACATGAGAGCATCCATAGCTACTTGCATTTTCACATCTATCAAAAGAAGAAAATAGCAGTAAAGTTGAGTAAGCTAGTCTATAGAAGGTGTATCAATTTCTTGACGTTTCTAAAGTTGACTCGTATCGGAACGCTCGTCCAGCTTTATCTCCTGAGCCTAACGAAGATTTCAATGAACCAATGAATGACGAGAACGAGAATGAAGATTTCAAAGTTCTGCTGGAGGAATACAAACATATTCAGGAAAAATTAGACGAACTCGGCCCGGGGCCTAAGCACGGCCGCTCGTTAGTTGACGATATAATTGATGATACGTTTGTTGATGTACCTTTAGACGATGTTAGAACTACCAGTAAACCATCCGACAATTTAGATGCTGAGATACGAGAACTTGAACTTGAACTGACCTGGCAGGCTAATACCCAAACCACTTCAGAAAACACGACCCAATTCGACAACGCGAGTTACCCTCAGGTCATTTCCACGTTGTCTCAAAACATACCGACCACTTATGGTGGCCCTTCTACTGAGCAGCCGTATTCGGGAGTTTTTGAACCGTTTAAGATTCAATCCGCTCCAAAGAAAGTAAGAAGTTTAAGCGAGCTTAACCGGATAGACATGGCCACGAGGGGTTTACCTGTCGAAAATGATGTTCCCGCAAAGGTGACAACAAATGCTCGCAGTAAGGCAAAGGGGAGAAGCAAAGGTAAACGACGGCCTAGCAAGGGTTTGAGGCAACGTGTGAGGCGCGATAGATCGAGTGATCGTTCTGGTAGTAAGGTTTCGTCAAGTGATATCTATGATGAGTTGGGGGTTGGAATTAAGAAAAGTCAAGGAGGAGGAAATAATGGGTAAGATCATTTGGAAAGTTTTTTTAGGCTTTCATGAACTACAGCAGCCGGATATGTCATCTTAAATGTGGAGCTGGTACGGAGCTCTTGCATGTGATGTCATGTCATAGCAAGTACTTTGTGCCTCTGCCATATTTGGCGGTAAATTTGAATACCGTTCGTTGCTACCATACCTTTTGTTCGAAACTACAGTTGGTTCAGTTGATAAAAGGTTCATGTCACCGAAGATAGCAGAATATTTTTGTGATACGCCATCATATAACAGCCTACTATAGCTTCTCATCAAAATACAATGTTTTGTTCTTACATATAAAAAAGCTCTTAAACGCTGTGGTGCAATGTAAGATGAAGTACACTGATGTATACCTTGAATTTTGCAAAGACATGACGTTACAATCGAACTTAAATCGTACCTCTGTTTCTTTTAAAAAAATGTCTATTCAGACACAGATTAGTATATCAATAATTGTATATCAATACGGTGGTTCAGTGTAGGTTTGCAGTATCTTGTTAAGCAGTACTGCTTTATTTCTGACCTTTTTGGAAGAGGTTTTCCATGACACGTTTTCTACAATAGATTTTAGAGAAGCCTGCAGTGGTTTCTGTCTAAACCAGCTCATTAAGTGATACAAATGTTCTCATTAAAGTTATTTTATTTCTTGTTGAACATAAAGCTCAATTATGATAAGAAAACAGAAACTGAAAGAGTGGCATCGACTTCAAAGGAAAGGAAATGACATGGAGAAACTCCAAGATGACTATATACCAGCGCCCATGGATGTTGAAACTGTCGATTCCGCTGGTAAGCAGTTGTCTATTCGTACATTGATTGATTCAAGATAGACAAATTAGCTACTGTACTAGTCTACATTATGGGCTTGGAATAACCATTTGATGATATAGTTGATGAAAGCTAGGCCGAATTATCAATTGTTATATCATATGCGTGAGTATTTATAATTGTTTTTGAACGCTACAAAGAAATCAATATATTTCTCAAAGCTTTTAATACTGACGCTGATCGATCTCGTTAACAATCCCGACGGCGAGGGATAGGCTCGCTATCTGTTAGCTGATCAGTGGCCAATCAGAATGCAGCATTTGCAATAGTATACTGCTTTGCCTAATGCAGTATGTAATAGATTTGTGATGTTATATATTCGTTTTATACACCAACTACTTAACTTTCAGTAGCTAAATTATAATAGTTTTGTTTCAGCTTTAGCATTATAAAACGTATACTGTAATAACATACATATTATACACCACTTAGTCAATCAGATTCATTAAGATAATGATGTTTTTGTGCGTAGCTCTAAAGATGGAAAGGTTTATGCATTCTCTCTCTTAATTACTTGTTTTTTCCCTGCAGAAAGTGTTGGTATCATTGATGAACAATATCCACGTTTACCCTTAATTGATCTCCCACAACCCCCACCTCCTGGGGAAGAAATGGACGCACCTTCCACGTCAAATATAATGCCATTAATGGATGTTGTAAGTATACTGAAGCTTGCGCGGGAATTTTAAGTTGGTTCATATATGAACGCGTGGAGTAGAAACTAAAATTCAGGAACCCTAAAAAACGAACTACCGAACTGCATAGGGCCGGTTGTAGCTACGAGAGCCAGATAGCGCTATCCACCGGAAAGTGTTTTTCAACCGTAAAATTACCCGTTTCTCGGCATAACCTGGATTAAACCTTTTATGGGGGTTCTCTTCCACAACTGTTCAAAATCTTTAATTTCATTGCATTTCAAGCATGTTTATAACGGTTGAAAAATCACTATATGGTGGATAACACCATTCAGCTTTCGTACAACCGTTTCCTGATGAACACATGACATGTAGCTAAACTTAGCGTCATGCCTTTAAAGTTTGTTCATTTAAACAGTAGATACGAAAAATCGTAATTGTATATTTAACCCAGGGTTGGTTTTTGAATGGGACCTTAATTCATAGTATTTATAAGCCTTTAGTATTTATAAGACAACATTCTTTTGAAATTTTCAGAAGCCTTATGGATATTATCATGATTATGGCAGTCCATGGTGGGGAGGTCCAGAGTTGCCTTTTGTTTCCCAGCCATACTTTGTGGAACAGTCAACCACTTTGGACGATCAAGGTAAAAAGTTTATCTCTCGCCTGTGTTGTGAACACTCGCTTAATTAAATTTGGTCAAAATTTACCGTAAAATTGTCAATGGTTTTGCAATGATGTTTCACGGCTCTAGCTGAAGTTTCAATCTGAAGAAACGCGCTAACCTCTGAGCATTACCCATGACATGGAAGATATGTATGTCTTAGACTAAGCACAGACTAAGGTATTATAAAAAAACAAACAGCTTCAGTCCAAGACTGTTCTCCTCGTGGTCTAGTAATGATCATCAGATATTGACCTATAGTGGTCTACAGCAGGACGCCTAAACTATAAATAGTTTTAATATATAAATGTTCGGTGATCGTAATTTCTTAATATTTCTTAATGTGTTGAGATACCGGACATAACGTTCATTAAAAATTATTTAAAATTCCCGATTTGACGTCATGTCGAGTAACTTTAAAGGCTAATAAATCCATCCAGTCAAAATTTTTCAATAACAAAATGTATTGCAAAGTTTTTTTAAAATACAGAATGCTGTCGCCAGAAGTTGCCCCGGAATGAAGTTCCGATATTTTAAGATGTGGAAACCTAAATAATATTTTTATATACTAATCGATATATCGTGTTCCGTTTTAGGTTCAGATTTGCCATTACCACACGAAGAAGCCAAAATACAAGTGCCTCAAAACCATAACGCAGTCGACATTCGGACTAGTGAACAAAACTCTCCAGATAATAACGAAGCTGACACTGATGTCGAAGACGAAGCAAGCGAATTAGCTTTGCGAGAACAATTGTTAAAGTCTATGGTCAGTAAACGTGCTGCGAAAAGTACTGGCAAGGCGAGCGAGAAGAGTGTTACGTCATCTGTAGCGTCGCCTAGCAACAGTCGTGCTGCGTCGCCATTCCCGGGTTCTGATGCTAGGAGGGAAATACAGGAGCCCCCAAAAAGTGATACGGTACAAAGGCCTAGTGCAATGCCGGTGAAGGTGAGTATAAATACGTTATTAACTTTGAACGCTAAAATATAATTGTAATACACCAAAACTAACGTTCCCTCTATCTGATGAAATTTATTTCATTGTAAATGTTTCACTGGTTGAAAAGTTGTTGTCAATCAAACCGGAGTACTTTTTTGGGACCCCTTGTATAACAGTGATATGGTGGTCAATAAAATAATTTTTTTCAAGGAATTTAAACTGCTAGCGACGTTGGGAAAACGGGACGTTCTTTGCCATCCATTTAACATTGTTGATTTTAAAATTTATACTTACTTTTTCTATAATATACTTTCCAGGTTAATTTTGCGCCGCCGAAGCACGGGCCAGTTGTTATTCATCTTGGCGCAGACTCCGAAGACAGTGAGTCGGGTGGCGAGAGCCCGATTAAAAATTCTAGTATATTTTTTGGTGGCTTAGACTCGTTTCTCAAAGAGGCAAGGTAAACTAAAATAGATACATTGATATTGTTAAGCTTTTGTCCCTCTATCAGCTCCAAACTATTCTCCCAGGGAGAACAAAGGTCTTAAAAATTGAAATTGGTGCAGGCTTGAAAATTTAAAGGCGGGAAGCCAAATTATTTAAAAAAAAAAAACCCAAATCACGAGTACAAATTGCCAAACTTATCGCTGATTTAAGCAAAACTTGCCCGAATTTTGATAAAATCGATAAAAATTTGCCCAGCTATTCTAGATTTAAAATTTTCGGTTGGGGGAGGTGGTACGCCTATAAACAGGACTGAAGAAGATGATTCAAAGTAGACTGGTTTATGTATGCTGGATGGCTCTTTTGGTAACAAACTGTCCTCCAGAGGGGCCAGTAAGGATGGTTTCTCGTCATTCCAAAGTTACTGCTACACAGCTACAAACAAAGAGTTTTATACCATCGTTGTTAGAATTGTGATTTCTTTTGTCAGGGAACGCTCTTCAAATTCAAAGCCAGATGCAAAAGCTCAAATGGTCGGAGAAAACAAGAATGTGGTTAAACCGCCAACGCCGACTACTCCCGAAGTTGTTTCGGTCCTTTCCGAGGAAAAACGTAATGAGTATAAGAAGCTGAAATTACAGTTGGCACTTAAGGAACAACAACAGAAGGTTCTGGGTGTAAATAGAAAAGGCAACACGACAGAGGAAGCAGATGTGAAGAAGAGTGAGCCTGTGGCGGCTAATCCAGAACGGAAGCACATCGCAAAACCGAAAGTGCAAAAAGATAAACAAAAAGCGGTTGTTCAACTGCAACAAAGGCTTCTTGGATTGGAAGCACAAACCCGACATCAGCAGGAACAACGAAAACTACAGAAGCCGCAACAGCAGCGGGAGACTCGGGCAAAGGAACAGCAAAGACACCCAAAACAACAAACTCAAATGATAGAAGAAGAACAAGGTACAAAATCGTTTATATTTCATTGCGAGTTTTCCATTAAATATTGCAACTGAAGCACATAAAAACCCCTGACCAATTTAAAGAAAAAATAAAGTAAAAAACAAATTCTGAAAGTACAAAATATCTTGATAGTCAATATTGTATGATTCGAATAAGACACACGTTGAAACTAATTTTTCTATTTATTTCAAAGTCATCTTCACTCCTATTTTCAGTTGTTTCGAACAAATCCAAACAGGATCAGGACGCCGCTGAAAGTGTTAAGGTCAGATTAAAAATGCTTCGTGAGATGCTGCTAGGGCACAAAAGACTGATAGGGGAAGATCAAAAATTGCTCGGAGGTTGTACGGATCAGTTAAAGAGCAGTTCGAAGGCGTTGGAGGAATATGATAATAGAATTGCGTTGCTACAGCAGCAACTGCAGCGGACTGAACGATTGAAGAAAGTTCAACAGGAACTGGTGAATAAGTTAAAAATACAGGTAAGAGTTTTGAGATTTTTCAGACAAGCTTTCTCTACCGTCACTGCACAAAAAGATAAAATTAGTCACAACTGGGCCGGTTTTACAAAGGTCGGTTAGCGCTATCGATCGGATAGCGAGTTTTTCAATCGCTCTAAAATTGCCAGTCTTTTCGTACAATTTGAATTGAACCTTCCTAGTCTTGAAGTAATGATTCTCTTTGATCGTTGTCAGGCCAATATCTACTGTACATCTTTTATTACTTTTCAAGCATTTTTGCACTATCGCGCTATCCAGTCTTCGTACAACCGGCCTCAGAATCAGAATTTATTATAACAGAATTACTCTTCCTAGTTCATGCATGCATATAAAAATTCCACTCGAGACTATATACCATTATTTGGACTGAATCACTGCATCTTTTGGCAGGTCTGTTTAATTTAGCTACAAAAGTATCAGTGTTTGTTTTCTGGTGAAGTCATGCTGGGGCAACAGAAGAATATAGCCTTTATAATTGCTCATATCTATGGATAACTTTCCAGTATTAATAAAGAACTATTTCTGTTTTAGAAAACCAAAATAAATCAGCAGATATCAAAGCGTCAGTCAGACGCTCGTGGTGTCGAAGAACGCTTGCTTCGCATGCGAGCGCTTTTGGTATCACAAAAATCCAAAGCAATCATCCCCACTAAAAAAAGTGAAAAGTCTGTATCCGAAATTAAACCTGCGGCATCTTATCCCGGACACCAAACTCCCGCCGTTGCTTCCACGGGGGAAAAGCCATTGGCGGAAGTAAAGCCTACGGTATTCAATCACGGACATGATTCTCAAGATCATGGGGTCACGGCTTCACAGTCGACTAGTAAAAATTTAACTAATTATCAAGAAGTGTCCCGCATTTTAGAAGAATCTTTGTCACCTAAAACCCAAGAGGTAAAGGAATCCTTACTGCTTTATGTTTAACAACTGTGCTGTATACCGACGAGTTTTGACAGAAGTGTGTTGGTTCCAAAATTTCCAACGACGCAGGCCAGACGTATATATATACAGAGCATATACACTCTGGATTGTGCATTTTGAAGCTTTTCTCCCTTTTCTTAGCAGATTTTCAAAATACCATTTTCGATTGAACACTCCTAATGGCTTGATTAATCCCCCTCGCTATCCCTTCTGGGCACGCCGATGATGGGCGTGAGTTATCTACCCTTTAAAGTTAACTTAAGCATTAAAGGACTTGCAAAAAACTGGCTCCAGTACAAATAGATTTATTCCTGCAATATTATACGTGTATGCCTATATAGACTGGAGCACAGCCACCCAGGTCAGAGAGACAAAATGCTAAAAGTACAAAATCGTGCACATTTGCTAAATTTTGTGTCTATTTTAAGGTGAGAAACATCCCGTCCCCTAAAAACGACTTCTCGGATAAAGATCCAAATAACTCGTCAGAATCAAATAGGCAAACATCTTCACAGACTGACCAAACAATGGAGATGAAACGACTTCGCATATTAGAGCAAAAATTAGCTCAAAAACTTCGCCAGTCCAACGCTCGTAGACAAATCGAAAAGGAGACGAGAACTCCTCGCGACCAGGATACGGGGAAATCAGGATCACCGAGGAAAACGACTTTGACGGAAGGAGACGGAAGACCGAGCTCCGATAGTGAGCTTACTTTAAAGAACAATAGTAATTTACGAGAACTGACTCCCCCCGTTGAGTTGGCGGGTGCCAGTGGTGAAGATGAAGTGGATGGAGTTGTGACAAACCATTCGGTGTGGGATGTTTTTAAAGATGTTAACAAGTTGAATAAGGTTAAACAAATTCAGGTTAGGGTTAAATAACATATATATGGATAATTGTTTAAAGTTTAGATCAGGATTCCTTCATTAGGATTGTATAAGTTGAGGTGAAAGGCCCATTTTTAATTGAACCGAAAGCTTACTGCGGAAACTATAGAGCACATCATATCAATGCACTATCAACAGTCCTAAGGTGGATCTATACAGTATATGCAGAGGGGGGATCGATAGAGTCCAAGAGAGAGTCGGAGAGTCTGTGCCGTATTAATAAAATTAGCTAGTCTACAGTTTAGATTTCCTTTTGAAACAATACTAGACCAATCAGTGATACCTAATCTGGAGAGATTTAGTACAAATAAAGAGCCATCTGGTATGAATACGGTTATTCACTAGTTTTCCAAATTTAATTTAGGTTGAACGAGAGACAAATGGGCCAAATTTTTCAAATGCGAGCGATACCCTGGCATTACCAGTGCGGTTTTCTTCTACACAATGTGCTTGGCTTAAAATTGATGGAACAAGCTTTTCGCAAACCTTAGTCAAGCTATCTGGTTGTTTATCTCCTGCGGTGAATAAACCTTTGATAACGAAAGCTGAAGTTGTTCAGAAAACACAATGGAAAAATCGCGCAACGGGACGGTATAAGAGTCCATTGGTTTATTTCAGATCATACAGGTATATATGCACAAATTTCCCTGTTCCAGAATAATAAAAGATGAAAATTTCAAACCACACCATACATTTGAAATTTGAACACCAAACCACTTCAGTTTGTGTGGCTAATATAACTCCTATAATCTGACCAGTTAATTAAATATTGAAAAAAAATCTTGTGGAAAATGGCCTTTAATGATGTGATTCATTTCTTTATTTTAGATTCAGCCCGTATTATCGTACTAAAAAAGGTTACACACTGGATTCATCTACTTTCACCCACCTTATAAACCCTCGCGTTTCCTTTTGCCCATTCGCGCTCCAAGGTATATGCAGTGATCCCGAGTGTACCCACCAACATCCGGATGATGTCATACCAAAAAACAGACAAATCCTCGAGGACCTTGCAGCATACTTTGCGCCTGCAGGCGAGAATGCCCGCGGCAGTGATCAGACCACCAAGGCTATAGCAGGCACAATAGATGCAGTTACCAAGCAATATGGCGACAAGGTCTCGCCTGCTGAACTAAGGGTATTGTTTGTTAATCATTTAAGAAAACAAAAGTCCGCGAGCATTTTTAATATAATCCTGGAGCGAAGGCCATGGGAACCAATTAGCCATGCGAAGAAAGAGCCTATTGCAAAGGCACAGAATGATTCTCCGATCGTACAAACGGAAAACACGTTCAGCTGGAAGAGTTGGCGGAGGAAGATTCAAAATGAGATTAAGACATGGTCAGGAGATAGGGACGAGTGGTGAGTAAAATGATCACGTGCGAAGCACACTCAAGTCTTTTAAGTCATCAACCTTGTGCCAAATTTGTTGTTTTGAGTCAATCTAGTAAAAGGACGATCTGTTAGAACATCAGTCTGGTAATACTAACAGGCCTTTTATAGGATTTCAATCTCGTAACAATTCTTTTCCTAAATCAATCTTGTAATAGATTTGTTAAGCCATCAACCTTGCGAGTTGGTTGTTTTGAGGCAACTTGTAGTAGGTCTGTTAGGACTTTGATCTTGTTCAAATCAATTGCCATTAATAGATCTGTTGAGTCCTAAGCTCGGTAACAATTCTGTGTTATTCAACCTAGTGATACATCTTGAGTCATTAACACTGCATGTAATAACCAGATGTATTGAGTTTTCAACCTTGGAATGTTGATCTATTGATCTGTATTTCGCGGAAATGTTTTTCAGCCAAGAAATTCGATACTTCTCTGAGAACTACGACAGCATCAAAACCTTGGAAAAAGCGACAGAAGAAAATCCTTGTAATGAGAGCTTATGGATCCGTCTAGCCATGGTACACATGGGATCAAATAGAACCGAAGGAGATAGAAATAATAACAACAGAAAGAATTTAGACAGAGCTCTCAACACTCTTGTGAAAGCTCTCGAGTATAATCGACATTCTGAGGTTTGTAATACATTTACAAGGAAAAGTTTTAAATTGCTGTTTGAAAAAGGCTTCTTACATACGAGTCCTAACTTTAATAGTTTCTCTCTGTGTCAAGACTGAAAGCTGATGTCATAAATCATTATATTTTCTAACGTTAAACCTTTCAGAGACTGTGGCTAAAATACTTGGACGTGTTTCGACAGCGAGCCGGTACAGACGAGTTATATGAAGTTTGTGAAGAAGCTGTCGAGCTCGCGGGCTCCTACAACGTTTGGTGGGCCTATTTGGAAATTGCCATGGAGTACGACCGCAAAGTCACCGTTTGTTTAAAATGTATAGAATACCTGATACTCTCAGAGACTGAAGTCAACCTGAAATCTCACCGGTTACTGGAGATTTTCCTGTATTTGGTACAATTAGATTTGCACGGTGACTTTTATGAGGTTGCAATGAAACGATTCCAAGTCGTGCTGAATTTCGAGGATGTCCCACGAGACACGTGCGGAATTCTCGTATCCGTCGCGGGAGGCCTCACTGGCGAAGACTTGAGTCTGTTATGGTTGTGTTATATTCATCTCGTGGAATTTTCGTGTATCCCGCGCGAGTTTTATGATCCCGCACGAACCGGTCCAGCAAGAATTGTGTGTAAAGATGGCGTCATTTTTCCATGGAAACCAGGTGCTGGCACACGTCATGGGTTTTCAGAACTGCTGAAACTTTTTCATAGTAAGTCTTTAATGATGCAAGTATTGTTTTGATTTTTAGTGCGATTTTTTTCTTTCGACAGATGCAAACGGTTGAATAGTTATAAATGCTTTATCTATATATCCCCCCCCCCCCCTATCCACTCAAACACATATAACGAAATAATGAAACCGCTTCTAATACAGCCCGTGTAAACTCACCTTAATCCTTAGAACAGTGCTGTTACAGTTTTGATACAACTGTATGCATGCATTTTAGGGAGAGGATACCCTAGAAAGGTATACCTGCAAGGGTAAAAAAAATGTCAGAAGAATACAATAATCTCTCCCTCCCTGATTAAGCTCTTTGAAAGAAATTACTTAGAAAAGAGAATACTGCAGGGGGGGTATTAGAGATTGAAATGACGGACGTGAAGCATTGGTATGCAATGCAAATATTAAAGCAAATTCACCAAGGTGTAGAAATACGGCTCGAAACACATATTTCTTGTATTCTCTTTGTTTTCATAGGTGCCCTCAAAGAATGCGGCGTCGTGTCTTGTTCCTCAGACAAGGTAACGCCGGTGTTCTTATTGTTCAAGAATCTAATTTCGTTAGAGCGAGCTTCTGGGAAAAACCCGTCGTCGATACGTACCTGTCAGCGGTTATTAAAAGCCTACCCGAAAAAGATCGAATTATGGTCCTGTTTGTCGGCGTTACAACAGGTCAGCGATAATGAGGGTGGTGCAGCGAATGTTTATAAGAAGGCTGTGGAGACCTGTGATGGACATGCGCAGATTGTTTATCATGCTGCGAAATATTTCATGGAAACAGTATGTATACTTTGTATATACTCTTAACTTTCTACGCTAGAATGGCTTAATACAAGAGTGCTGCAATCCTGGTCAAAACTATTGACTACACTCTAGTATATTCGGCACACTTGAGTTATTAAACGTTTACGTTGTATATCTGTTGTATGTTGTATGTTGAGTTTTCGCTCAATTGTTTAAATGTGTTTTATGTATCCAGCTTTGATTAGTAGGGGAAAGTGAAAAAAAATTTTTATTGGGAAATTATTTTATTATTTTATTGGACGAATGTTTGCAAATGTTGCCAATGTTTTGACCAGGATTGTAGTTGCTTTAACTTCTAGACTTGCCTAAATGCTATTTCATGTGGAAAACGTTTGTATTTTTGTAGAAAAATCGAAAGGAATGCTACGAGGTCTTGGAAACGTGCGTCTACAGTAAATTTATTCTTGAGATTCCGAGCCCAGGACCAAACACCAGAGCCAGATCACATGAGAAACCTACGATTCTCAGGCCAAACCCTGAATTACTTTTCAAAAAGCTATTGTCGCAGACTATACCACTGGACTCTGTTGTACCATCTGCAAAAACTGGAACGCGTTCAGATAATTTTGACTCTGAGAAAACGTATATTTGGCTTTGCTACTGGTATGTTTGAAATGTATAGTTTTTCAATTTTGTCTTTATATTTACGGTTTGAGGAGGCACCATGAAGTTATCACCACTTATGTATATTACTGTTCCGGTGGTTCTTCAGAACGTAACCTAACCCAAACCAACGATATTTAAGAGCCTGTCATTTTACTGTTTTACCTGAAGCTCATGGGATCCAGTAAGCGAAAGGCTTTTATTGATCCATTTTCCCCCAACAGGAAGTCTGTAGGAAGAATAGAAAGAATCAATCTCTTAGATTATCAATCTAATAAAATCATTTCTAAAATACTTCAATTTGTTCTTAAAGTTCATCGTTTCGTTGTGTCCCAAAATTTACTTTTACATAGGCCATGCCAATGACTTCAACAATTTCTGAAGTGTTTTTCTGCAGGTTCATCCAGGTCATCCCTTTTTGCTGTTAACAGTTCTAACTACCAAATATGAAAGACGTCTGAACTTAATGTTTGCCCGGCATAGGTTGATCAGTTCCACGGTAAACTGCTTGTGCATCGAAATTTATAAGTTCTCGTCTTTTTAGCATTTTTATTGAATTGTTTTCCAAAGAAGAGGCGCGAGAGCGGCACTCGCTCACACAGGCAGCCTATCAGAGCGCTATATACAGTACAGGTGATAGAAATGAAGTTAAGACCATGTGGGTAGAATACCTCTACTACATGGCTCGCATGCTCGTGGAGAAGTTGTGTACATCAGAAGAACTTCACGATGTGTTCCATAAATGCCTGTCGACCGTGCCTGCTGTCACTCCAGTGAACTATATGTCATCCAAATCTTGGTCTGATTACAGTTTTCATAATAAGGTAATATATACACTTCAAGATCATTCACACGACGTACTTCCCATTGCTAGTGTAGGTTGTATTTCAGGAGGCTTGTCAGGATTTTCGTACGGAATTTTTTTATCGTCCGATAAACTCGATTCTTGAATGACGAACAAGTGTCTATATTTTGCAGGTTCTTGCCTTATACCGATGCTGTTTGGGGGACGCATTTTCATCGTCTGTTTACCAAAAATATCTCGAAATGTTTCCTGATAACACACAACTGGCTATACAGTAATGTGACGGACTCGAATTAAATCATATTTATTTGTTCGCATGAGAGGATCAATAGCTATATATTTAGATTTTTTGGTTGGCCGATGTCTCTTATGAAGTCTCGTAGTTCCCCTGTTTATATACACAGTATTTATTTATCAACCCCACCCCCGTAACTTTATGGATTCTTGTTATTATCTGTTAATTATAGAGCCGTAGAAAGTTTGTATAAAAACAAAGAGCTGGATAAGTCGAGAAAGATTCTGTCGGCCATTTTGTTGAAGACTCCATACTGTTTGGAATTGTGGAAAATGTACTGCATGTTAAAATTCTAACTTTATCTATTTACATTAAATCAAACTATATGTTGGATAACTTTCTACTCAAATGAAAACTCCATGTATGCAGTTAAGGACCATGTCTTCTTGATCCAGTTTCCTTATATAACCTATCGACATTATATTGAGATTTACCAGCCTGACAACACAAAACTACAAAAACACGAAACTATGAAAGATTGGATCATTTGAGCATTCTCCTTTTGTCCTGTCATTATACGACTTCTGCACTACATAAATAACCTTTCTTCATATCTCTTTTGAACTTAGAGCGATTTCCATTGAACTTAAAGAACGAAATATCGATCAGGTATACTATTTATACAGCAATGACATATTTTGTTCACGGTTTCAAAATATATATATTTACTTTTTTAGGCACGACAATTGTATGAACATGCGACGGAGGCTTTACCTTTATCAGCGTCCATTTGGAAAGATGTAAAATTGTCTTTGTTGTCTTTGACCTTGATCTATGTTTTTTCGTTTGATTTGTGTTGATTTGCCCTGATTTATGCTGATTCCATAGATTTAGTTAATTTATTTCCCTTGTTTATGATGCTTCCCTTTGATTTAACTTAATTTGCCTTCGTTTTATGTTGATTTGCTTTGATTTACGTCGATTAGCCTCAATTTACTTTCAATCTTTAGTAAGGCAGGTTGATAACTACCACAATCTCTTCAGTACATGCATGTATAGAGATTTATTGAGGTCAATTTATTATTGAGGCCAATGTTTCCATGCATTACTCACAAAGAATGAGCTAATAACCTTTAAGAAAAGCTGTTTCAATCAAACTTTGATTAAAATAGTCGAATCTGCTGATCTTGAATTAAAAAATTTAATCTATAAAATTTATTTGAATGTCATACATATTATATTAAGGAACTTTTGATTGAAACGTTTTAGTATAATCAAAGATTTTTATTTTTTTTCCAAACAGTTTGCAATGTTCGAACTTACCCATGGCTCAAGCGACATGGAGGGACTAAAGTCGATCGCTTGCAAAGCGAGAGAACGAGGAATTAACCTCGACGAATATCTCAAAGAATTATCCTCAAAAAACAGATGAATGCATGTATATATCATGCGGTTGGAATGCAGAAGTCGAGTAGATGAATCGAAATAAACGAGTGCTTCTTGAGAAGGATGAAGAATAATAAGCGAGTGTGCTTCCAATAAGAATTAATGAAGAATAATGAGCAAGTGCTTCCTATAAGAACGATGAAAAATAATGAGCGAGTGCTTCCAAAGAAGGATGAAATATTTTTCGGATAATGGTCAAAGCAGAGAAGCACTAGAATTTATTTATAAGAATTTGTTTTGAAATTTCCGAGAATACTGGACGTCAATACAAGACATTCTTGGTTAAATGTGGTAAGTAATCCCTTTACTTTTCCCAACCAACGGTGATTGCCTGGGAAAGTTTCAAAAAATTTTCCAAATTTTTGGTGTTCTACCATAAACCTTTCAATAAGTAAACTTTTCAATAATTTTGTCCCAAGGACAAGGCAGCATATTTTTCAGGACTTTCTGTAGTATATAGGCTTCTGGATTTTGTATTAGATTGCACATGTAACTGTGACACTTAAAAACTTGAAAACTTAAAAACAATTTTGTTGGCGGGAACATATTAATTATAAAAGAAAATTTATCTATAAAATATATTTTCATCATATTTTTGAGTACGGACATTTTTAAACGAATTTGTAATAAATCATGTGTAAATTTGAGATTTCTTTTATATTGGGGCTAAGCGGTCGTCAAATCAATCGTCAGATGAACTCTTTGTTTGAATTTTTTATTTTGGCTATAACTAATGATTTATATACATTTATTGCTATAATCTAGATTGTTGATTAATAATGAAGTGTGCAGGCGTAGTCAAACATTCGCTTAATCATTATCGCTTATATAGTAAATTAATTCTGGAATTAATGTATAATACAGTCCCCGATAAGTAGTTAACCCCATTGATCACAACTTGTATCGAGTCTGTTTGATTCCGCGTTATTTGTAAAGAGTTCTTGTTATGCCGGGGAACATTAAACCCATAACGGTTGATTTAGGTATATAATTCTACATAGGCAAGTTCATTGTAGTATCTAGAGATGAAAGGTCTATCTGGAAGAAGTTAGTTTAGGCATCCCCTTTTCCGGCTAACCAATCCTTTCCAGCAAAACAGTGATCCAAAAGGATACAATCTTACCGGATTGAGCCATTCACCAACTGTTAACGTGGAAAAATGTATTATACGTGAAAACAAATACATTGTCCTTGATACAACCGAAACTGTTGTGAAATGTCAACTGATTTTCACACACAAAAAAAACAAACAGTGATGTTCAAAGATGTGGATGCAAACTGTGGATGTAAAAGCTTAAAGATTGCCGGGAACTGAAGATGGGACAACCCAAACATTGCCATTATTGAGCTCAAAAAAGTGGACTTTAAAGCTAAACGCTATTTCTCGACGAATGCATTATAATTATAGAACTTTGTGAAGACTTTTTGATATGTTTAATAAATTTATTTTGTAAATATGTGTAAAATTTGCATTAAATATTTCTGACCTCAACTTTTGTGTGCTTTGTGGTATAAGATAGAGTTGAATAATACTGAAACAAATCAAAGACCTGTCGGTTTTTGTAAATGGAGAATCGATCGAAAACTTCTATTATTATTTCGACTCCAACAAAATGCCCAAAATTATTTTTGCCAAAAACTATTTTTGGATTTTTTCGCTTTTAAGAATACTATATTGTCTGAAAAAACGTTTTCCATCAAAACAAAAAAAAAACTATACAAAAAATTCTTTGTTGTCAGTATACGGAATGGTGCCTTTTTTCCCAAAGGACAGAGTGCCAAATATAACTCGGATTTTTTAGCTCAGTCTGCCCACAGTTAATTTGGTCTGCCTCAACTGTAAAATGTGAAAAATATATTTTAATGAAAGCCAAGGAGCGGGTGTATGCCCGCCTCTCGCTGGAAAAAACTAAGCGCTCGGGTTGCTCGATGAGGCTGTGTGCTGATTGTACCATAGACAATCGAAAAGGCATTTCTAGATTGTCTATGATTGTACTAATTGGAAAAAGTAGTACTACTATCAAAGTATACCACTATCATAGACCGCTAGTTCCATGGTTGCTGTTTATATAGTGCCAGTAATTTAGGTACCTAACAATTCGATTTATAAAGAGTTTAACAACCATAGGAATGTTAGCTCACTATTAATATTCTGACTTCAAAGTTCAAAATTAGATCCATGAAATTAAATTAGTCTGACCATCAAATTCAAAATGATGGGTGATCCAGTAATTTTCAGATCAGTGGTTCATATAATAAAACCAGTGAACTGAATAAAACCTAGTGCCGCAGAGCCGCAGTGGGAAACAGCACTGAGGGAAACACTGGTGCGAAATTCTTATTTTGGTACTTGGTAGTGGAAGCACCACAGTTTTCAACAACTTAGGACTTAGGACACGACTCACGAGGACAAGAAAGAAATGCTGCTCTTGTTGGTGTCAACGCGGCGGTTGTTTGGTAAGTATTTTTTTATTTTGATATAGTTTTTCGTTACTGAGTTTGATTGATATTATATTATAGTATTTGTAAGCAGTACTAGCGTCTAAATTGCTTTCAATAACTCAGTTTTATAAGCTTTGAAGTTTGTGTCGGACGATTGACCACGTGTTCCAATTTCGAAGGCAAACATATTGCCAAGCTCTCGTGATCTTGCTACATTTATGGATTGAATCGTTAAACAACAGTCAAACATAGAAAATAGCCATATCTATGATGGGGTTTACCACATTTTTAACACATTTATATATACACATGACATTCACGTCATGTGATAGTAAAATTAAATTTGTCTCTGGCCTACCTCTATATCGTCAACGAAATTGTATTTATGGGCTTCACGCTAGTTCTGGGGACATACTTAATACTTTTCTGAACGAAACCACAAAATATCAACAGCTAGGAGTAGACAACAGCATTTCTCTTAGGATCAAGCAATAATTTGTCCACATTTCTGGATCATGTTTTATATTAATGACCCCTTTGCCATTGGGGTCATTAATTCAACCAGTACCACCTGAATGGCTTGGTGTTATGTATCCTTTGTTAAGCGGGCTTGCAAAAATGCAAACCCTTGGTTAGGGTTAGGTACAGGGTTGGGGTTTTCCAATGTGCAATTCGAAGATTTTCAGTTGGAAGAAAATGACACAATGTCATTTGTTTTTAGCCACCCAACTTTATTTCCTTGTAAGCCCAATAGGTAAAGCTATCTTGTAAACTGCGAAAAGATTTATGATTTAGAAATGGGCCATATTTATTTCTGCAGTGATGACAAACTTTGGGGTATAAATTCTGAGTTCACAGAGTCACTTCTTGTGGAACTTTGAATGCAGTCATTCTTGTCCTGAGCAGAATAGAAAACTAATTCACCCACAAAGAACCAGAAGGGGGGAGGGGTATAATTATGCATGCAATGGAAGATGAAAGATGAAGTAAGCATTTTGTGTGATAGCATAAGGGTCATGCGTTGCGTACAATACAAAAAGAACCTTTAAAGGAGTAGAAACCTTAAAAGAACCCTTAGAGGAGTATCTAAAAGTGTTCCCACTGTAATCAAAAATTAATCTTTAATACCATATTGATGTATTCTCATTAGAATGTTTTTCTCCCTGCTGTGTAGATGTTATATGAAATTGATGTGGTTGTGTTCATTTAGATCAAATTGTTGCAGGAAAATACTGCTTGTTATTTTTGGAAAGTCAGTAAAATTGCACTACTGCCAGGTGTGTATTATAATAAGTATTATACACATTTCTATGCCTAATATTCTGAGTGATGAGAAATGAATGCATCTTTTTAATTAATGACTGCTTTGAGGCAGAATGATAATTTCATTTAAGTCTCTGACAGAAAAATTGTTAAATGAATATATTTTGGAATTGCTGAATAAAATTTCACACATTGCCTTTTTTTAACAAATATTTAGGATGACAGAGACACCAGAATTCCATAGATTAATGGTAAGAATGGTAGGTGATATTTAACTGCATAATCTTGATTACTTAGCTTAGCAAAATAATGTTAACAAATCTCTCAATAATCAATTGAATGAATTTTTCTTGTCTGTGTGTGATTGTTGGCAGTGATACAACTATATCTGATTTAGAATGCAGTTACATAGACTAATGATGAATTTTTCCTAAATTATGTGTATCTTGTTGGTAGCCAAATTTGACTGGCAATGCAGCCAGGCAGTGTTTCCCCCCCCATGTGTTTTGACTGCACTGCTATGATGATTAAACTTCATAAACTTTCGTTCTCCTGAACTTTCTTGATGAAGTAAATAATCTGAGCAGAAACATAGAATTTAGAAGTGTAGCATTAAAGTGAGCGTACTTTTTATCATTTTAATTTTGCGGGAACTTGACAAATCATATACATTTCTGTGGTGATACTTTGGAAGATATGGTTAATAGGATCTTGTCAGACCTCTGGTTAGTGATATTTATTGAAAAGTTCTGTTTTAAATTTTAGGAGAATGCTATGGTGGATATGACCAAAACTGATATGTTAACTTTGTGTTGATTGTTCTTATTGGCTATTGCAAGAGATGTTTCACCTGAGATAGAGCTACATATTTCTCAGAAATAGATCAGTGCTCAGGTGTGTGCATTACTAACACATATATATTAGGGTACCTCATTAGACAAAGTTTCAATTGCCTTACAAGTTACAACTGGTCTTGCTATGATGCTTACGAATTACTTCACCTGACGTATAAAGCTGAAGAGAAGTTCAACTTCTGAGCAATGACCTTCACTTACTATGCTTTACATTACAAACTAATATGTCATTTCAATGCTTTTTTCAAATACAGTAATTCCTGGTCAAAACACCTATTGAATATTGTTCATAATATTGCATGCATATAATACCAACCATTGTCGTCTTGTTTTGCATTCATACTTTTTAGATTCATGTAAGAAACTTACCTGTTTATCAGTGAGATGAGTAAAATGGAAGGGTTTCAGGATTAAGACCACCTTATTGTACTTAAAGCAAAATTGACCAATCTTTTCAACGTCCATGTCCTTCCCACACATTTTGCTGGTTTTAAAATTTCCTTCTCTGCCCACAATACGAGTACTGTTTTATTATAACAGTGTGTGTTATTTCTTTTTCTCAGTATGCACTATATGATACCATCATTGCAGAGAAGCATCCACAGTTTGTTCAACTGTGTAGCTACATGGTATTAGTTCAACGTGGAAATGGGGTAATGACAAGGGTTGATTTTTTTGTCCTAATAAGCGCAACCTTGCTGCAGTGATGAATGTTTTGATCAAGTCTAAATCATCGATATGTTGATTCAAACCGAGCTTTTTAAAACTGAGCAGCAAAATATATCATCTTCATGAAGATTGTCATCGTGAAGCCTTTGTGAAATTGTCCTTAAAATATTTCTTATTGATTTCACATGTAGATGAAAATAAGTGGACGAAGAGATGGTTTTATACTGCTTACTTGGCTGTTCTTAAATGCTGCAAATAACAGAAAGCAAAGACTGGGAGTGTTTCCAATACAATGGAAAATACTTGGTCTTGGGAAAATATGAGCGGAACTGTGCAAGGCCTACACTGATTCACTTAAAGTTTACGTCTTTCAATTGTTCTTCAATCCAAAATGTCACTACATCTACCCCATGGCCATACAACAAAATATGAACTTTTATATATATTCGCCGTGTGCTTTTCGTCCTTTTTTGCGAATAATAAACAGTTATTATACGAGTCATGAATTATTATTTTATTTGTCCCCAAAAATGGCGTCTTGTAATGTCCGGCGTATTCACTTCACTGCTTTTGTTTTACGTAAAATATTGTATGTTTTATATATGAATTCAATTAAAAAAAGAAACCTTTAGTATTTATATTAAGAAACCTTTTGTATTTATATTTTCCAAGTCTTCCCACTTTAGGCGAAGGACAAATTTACCAGCAAACAAGAACAATTTTTCAATCTCCGATTCGTAGAAGTGGTAGGCTGTCGCTTGCGAATATTCATTTAAACTTACGTTTGATTTGACTTTAGATTTAAACTGTTGATGAACTGTTTTAATTCGGACGAAAGTCGACAAGGTTAACCGGTCGACATGGGTAGGATTTCATTTGTGGGTATGTTTGAGATGATGAGTGGCATTGATGCTTCAAGGAGAAACTGTGTTTCATTCTTGTTGCCTGAACTATTTGTTATGTTGACATAAACAGATGCTCAGGGGCCATCTGATCAAACTGTAGATGATAAGCAAAAAGTGTCTTCTGTTCTGACAACATCTGCCATTATTTAGTGTATACTTTACCTGTCGCACACCTTATAAATAGCCACTGAGGCACCAGCGAAGTCACCAATTCCGCTGTGTGTAAATATCGCTATATTTAAAATTTACCGCGTTTTTCATCTGACGGGTCATGGTCTATCCTGCGCGCAGACGCTATATAGTAATAACTTCCGGGCGCCAACATTCGGGCCACAAGTATTCGAATAATTGTGTGTCGTTTTTCTCACCGTCTATGTTACGTACTATAGCCATGGTCATGTGAACTGTCAAAATTTAGTCGTCTATTGATGTAAATGCTGTACGTGGCATTTACAGCTCGGCTATATAAGTGCGGGGATCTAAAATTCACAATCAAGTGAAAAGTTGTAAAAGCTTTTTCACTTCCAGACGTCGAGAAACATAGAGTATTAGAGTTAAAGGAAGTAATTTCACATATAAAATTTTTATTCGAAAGTGACCATCTGGTTTGGTTTCCTATAGTAATTGTAAGTTAAAGACCTGGGGCCGGTTGTTCAAAAGCTGGTTAGCTTAACCCAGGGTTAACTCAAATTTTAACTTCGCTCTTTTAATCGCTTGTTTATTAAGTTGAACATGTTTTTTCATAAATATTTTGTGGATCAATAGAAGTCTTATTTTATAATGTCTTGAAACAAACAGCGGTGCAGAAGCATATAAATCAAAACAGTGGGTTAAAATTTAACCCAGGGTTAGCGCTAACCTAGCTTTAAACAACCCGCCCCGGGTGATTTACAGTAGGCGCTAGTGAATATTTTTTGTGCCCAGCCAGCAAATATATACAGATAAATTAAATATGTCATTATACTATATATAACAGAAATTAAACTTCATATTTTTACATACATTTAGACAGTTTTCCTTTGGCTCTAAAATCACTATGTCAGTATATGCGTATGTTCACAATTGCCCTGGTCCATTCTTTACTATAACTCGGCTAGACTTTGTCTTGCATATGAATGATGCTATCTTCACTCCTATATTTTCGTTTGCCGAGAAAGAATCTTTATTTCTTGGTGAAAAAATGCGTCATTATATTTTAGTCCTGGCCATGGTTAGAATTTGTCTTCATCGTCTTTTTGCTGGATTTAAAATCGGCCAGCAACACTCTCAAAGCAGTTTTCATTTGCCTGCCAAGAGCTCTCACCTTTTTTACGTCTTTGTCAAGCGATTTTTTCGAGGCTTGACCTTTCGCTTGATTTTTGCATCTTCTTCGGCTTGGAATGAGAATTCTTTTTCTTGAGACTCCAAAATTGTTGTTGCTGTTACATGCAGCGAACACACTTGCTAGAAAAATGCTCAAAGTAAGTCCCACGATTAAAACCTTATAGTCCATTTCGTCGGCTTGGTTAGTCGATTAAGATTCCTTGAATGCAACACCAAAAACCAAATGATTTACTGTTTATTTTTTGCCTGTTTTAAGTCTTCAACTGAAGTCACACTACAGTCGATGACTGTTGAAAGAATAACCTCCGTAACTAAGCTTTAGGGCACTTTAGTCCGCTATTTATATGTGCTGTACCCCGGCTTCTTCCCTCCTCTTTTGCCTTTTGGTAATATTTTTAGCCTGTGTTGTTCAAAAGAAACGCTCTATTCGCAGCGTGCCTGCCAAGCCGGGCAGAAATTCAAACACGTTGTTTCAATGGCTTCAAACTGCTGCGATTTGCAAGGGTTTTGTGCTAAATATACCTGCAGGTGAACAACGAACTTTAAGACAGTATTTTAAGACAGAACTTTAAGGAGAATTTCTAAATTTATCTTGCGTGCCTGCATGGGTTACCGCGCGAACTTTTCTGTTCCTATATGTCATTCGTATTGTGCCATAACCATGTTTGATCAATTTCTTTATAATATTGCATGTGTTGATTGATGTGTCCAAATTAGTTTCCTTATAAAATTCGTGGTATTGTGGGTTGTCTTATAGGCTCCTAACTTTCTCCACCACTACCAGAATATCTGAATTCTCGAATTCACGTCTAACGCTTCCCATATTGAAAACAGTCATCACATTATTGCTCTGGCTTACAAAAACAATCTCATACCGAAAGTGTACGTACTTGAAGATACGCCTCCAGTTTTCTTTATCTATCCTTTTCAGGTGTTGGCCCCGTTTTCAGACACAAGCATGGCTGTTTGGTGGAATTTGTTCGCTCACGTGACAAGCGTTCCTTCGGCTTCAATCTATTTAGAAGAGTTGAATTATATTCACTCTCTCTGCCTCAATCGTATATAGTCGCCATTCATATTTTGATTTTACGCCAAAAAAAACTTTATCGTATTGGTGTGTAGCTCTAGCACACTTTAGTTACCAAAACACTTGAAGTGTTGCTAAAAGTATACAAAATATTTATCTGTGTTTTGCAAATGCTTTAACTGTATTTGAAAACATTCTATTTATATGGTAACTGCAGATCGTTGAGCGTGTAATTGTAGCAAAACAAAATGCTGAAAATAACTCGGGTGATTGTCGGCAAATGTCCCGAACACAAAACAATAAATATTTGGGATTATTACTGTGTTTTCTTAGAGTTGCTGTATTTTAAGCAGTTTATTTTTGGTAGTAATTTTAATGTAATTGTGCGTGCTCTTTAACAGCTGAGTTTTGATATGCGAATCAATCCACGTAATGCCAGAAATTAGGCTGGGGACTATTAAGGCTTCTCTGTCACTCTGCCGGAAATTAGGGCTGGGGACTGTTAAGGCTTCTCTGTCGCTCTGCCTAAAGAAAAAGCGATGTGGAGACAGTATTGTAATGTAGATGGTTGAGTTTTTGTCTGTAAAAGGACTCTTATTGCGATCCTTCAGTCAGGTTGGAATATTATAAAATCTCTGGTGAGTTTTAGACTACGTGTTTCTCACAGATATAGATAATCATTTAAGGGGGTCCTCTACTAAAATTTTCACTTTGACTTCGAAATTTTTGAATTTTCAAAGACAGTCATTATATGTACTTTCAACCTTCCTCTATGGCCTCAGAAATTTTCAGTGCGCATAGAATACTACAACACACTAAAAAAAAGCAAATTCCTGAACCTTTGGCTATTTTCTGCCTTAGCAACGCCCTTAGCAACAGCTGTTTTTGTTTGAAAATCCCGCCTGAAAGCCCTTCTTTTTATCCAATGAGAACGATTTTCTTTATATTATATGAAGTAGTCCTTCTGCTTTCTTAACACACCCGCTGAAAGCTCTTTTAACGATCTGAAGGCGTCTTTTGAGCTAAATAAACTCATTGTGTTGTTCTCGTGTTCTCAACTCTCAAGCGTTCGTCAAGCGTAATTTACATTATTTGCATATTCCGATATTATATATTCATATATTCACGATGCTAAGGAAATGTTCAAGAGTAAGGAAATTGAAATTTCATGGCAATAGATTCACGGACTCTGTAAGGAAAGCGCGTCTTGAGAATGATTCTGTTGTGCGATCAACTTCAACTAATGATCGAAGGCAATTCGTCTCCAAATATTTCTGCTTCCGCTCGTAAGATTGGCAATCCATGTCCACGAAATGCTCCCCCAGTTTCAGCTACCGTGACAGGGTATCGATTTATTGATATGGAGATCCTGAACTATGTTTTTAAGCAAATGATATGGAGTGATGTGGTTCATCGTCTTGTTTTGTTTTGGAAGAAGACCCACGTGAACGAAAAGGCAGTGTGTCTCATCTTCGTGTTCGTTGCCCAACATGTGGTTTGGTGTATACCTTTTATACATGAAATAAAGTTCAGCACTCGTTTTATATCAACAAGCGATTTGTGTATGCTATGCGAAGTATGGGACAAGGACACTCATCAATGAAACGTTTCTGTGGCTTGATGAACATGCCACCTCTATTCCATTCCATGCCTACAGTGCCAGTAATTCTGCACAAGATAAAGCAAACAATACAAAGCTGTACAAACCCGGTGAAGGTCTTCCTGATGATATTATTGCATTGCTCAAATCTATTTATACCAGGCTTAGCAATGATGAACTATTGAGCAAGTGCTTAGATGGAAAAACCCAAAACCAGAATGAGTCACTAAATGGCATGATTTGGAACCGGTTGCCGAAAACCATTTTTGTTGGAGCGGATGTCCTGAATTTTGGAACATATGATGCTGTAGCTCATTTGAATCTTGGCAATAAAGCAGCTGTGAACATTTTGAAGAGATGGACTTAGTTCCAGGACATTTCTTTGAAGAAGGAATAGAAAAAGGTGATCGTTTGCGAGTAAGGAAGGCTTAACATAGGAATACTCCTGAAGTAAGGAAACGACGAAAAATCCTCCGCTGGCAGAAAAAGAAGAAAGAAGATAAAAATAAAGGAAGAGAGGGCACCACTTATGAAGCAGGAGCTTTCTAATGTGGTAACAAATGTACAGTAGCAATAAAATAGCAATAGAGCCTTGTTATTTAGACCTGTTTGTGTTATGAACTTAATATTACACTTTAAATGCATTTTTCTCAAAATGCCGAAATTCAGCAATATCCGAGATTGTATGCAAGATATCTCAAGACGTTTTGGAGCTTTCTTGCTGAAATTTTCAGGATAGCCACAGTATGAGTAGCTCTAGGAGATGAACTAAAGAAATTAAATTCTGATGCATAGATATCAAGTGGTATCTAATTCAATGGAATGTAATGTAACCTTTTCAATTGTTTTGCCTGTAAAACTGCTAAAACCCCAACAACCTAAAAAGTTTTAGTTCAACTCCTAGACCATGTTATTTTTGAGTAAATAAAAGTTATTTCATCATTTTATGGCTAATGGTTGTGTAGTTATCATGTTTGCAAAATGGCATCCATTTTGCTATTAGGCGTGGCATTTTCTGGTAACCGAGGCAACACAACTTTGCAATTGTATGTACTTTTTGTCAGTGACCATAGCCTAACAACATACTAAAGTATCAGTTTGGTACTATGAATAGCAAGGTTAAAAAAATTTTTGGTAGAGGACC